GGCTCAAAAATCGAATTTTATATTTAGAAAAGAAATATTTGCGATGATATTTTCTCGTGACAAGCTCTAGATATTTACAAAATATCCCAAAATAAAATGATAATAATCATTGACGTTATTATAAGAAAAAAATTCGAGACTCTACCATCATAAAACTAAATATAAAATTTAAAAAATCCTACATTATACAGCATTATACAGCAATAGTTCTCAACGAACACGATTTCCAATTTTATTAGACTTTTCGTTGAGTCAAGATTATGTAGATTTGACAAACTATATCGCATATACCGCATGTGGAGCGCATACCTCTTAAGCCCACTTTAAACGATCTATAATTCACCTCGAATTTCAGGAAATTCTATTTATATTTTTATATGCCATGTATATTCATAGTTTAATGTATATTTTATAATATTTATTTTATATGGTTGACTAATCTAAAGATTTTCATATGTACATAAAATTCTAATAAATACATCAAATCAGTACCTACATAAAATTTTATCCTGAATTTTGGTACCAATTATAGATCGTCTAAAAAGAGCTCTAACGGTGCGGGAAATTATAGATGGAATTTTATCTTGAACTTTAGAATCATAGATCGTCTAAAGCAGGCTTTATCACGATCGGTATATTGACGCTGGCTTTGCAGTCAGAGCTGCGTGTGCTATCCGAGATTCGAACCGCTGCAGCTAATAAACGTGTTTGAGGTACGCGCGTACCGCGTGACGGAATCTGCACATTCAGTTACCATCCAGAGGGTCGAAATTAATATTCATGCAATATGGAACATCAGCATTGCTAATTATAAGTCCCCGGGAAATATTTATTAACTGTCAATAAATTGTCTACAATACTTAACGCATTATATAAAACAATTAATATTGATAAATAAAGAAAAGAGAAAAAAGAGAAAGATTCTTTTTTCGATTGCAATCTTATTGGAAATTATATCCCGTATTTTTACTTTCTGTAAAAAATGTTCTAGATTCAGATATAAATGTTCAGATGTCCTCCTTTTATTTTCACACACGATTGATATCTTTGTCTCACATAATTGCGCATTCCTCGGAAGATTCTTTGTTTCGTTCAGCATTTTACGTGTTACGATATTATCTTGTATCGATACACAATTATTATGCTCATCGTACCATAATGCTCAAATTACATCTTCGGAGCAGAAAAAGTGATAGTGTAACTTTTTGCTTATCACATGCGGTCAATAAAAGCAAACTAAAGTATTTTAAATTGTGAAGAACTCGAAAATAGTTTCTGATTTTAAAATCATTTTTTATCTTAAATATTAATTAATTATTTGATCAATTTAGTATCAAATATTCATAAATTTTAATTTTTCTGTATATTATATCGATAAATAAAATTTTTATTATGACTTATATTTATAGACGCAAACATGAATTTATTATTAAAGCTATATTTAACTCAGTAGTTTTCTCTTCCTCTTTCTTTTTTATATATTTTGTGTGTGTGTGTGTGTGTGTGCGCGCGCGCGCGCGCGCGCGCGTGTGTGATAAATATTTTGCAATCACATCATTATTGTGTTTACTGTCTCGCGATAATTACGCGAAAACAAATGACTCAAAGACTTAATCACTTTTCGCGATGCGGTCCATCCGTTTCAGAAAGATAGAGCACAGATAATATAACGCAACATGATTATCTTATAAAAAACCAAAACAATATAATAGTATCAATTCACATATCATTATCCACTTTTTGAACGTACTAAACAACAAATAAAAGTGATATTTATTTTGAAATATAAAACTGTTAATCGGAAATAATTCTCTGAACTCACATTTGATAAATCTTATCTTATCTAAAGTAAAGTTTATCGCGCTATTTGTACACAAAACTGGCAAATGACAATTCAAACGTGAACATATTACAGAAGAGACTTTGTTACGAAACTTTCCACGACTTTAAATTCTAATAATAATTTATGACAAATCGAACGACAATTTAAAATACATAGCCTTACCACAATATTTATTTATGTAATATCCGCAAACTAAACTTTGTGCCGGGTAATAACATAAAATAAGAGACTTTGTTACGAAACTTTCCACGACTTCAAATTTTGATAATAATTTATGAAAAATCGAACAAGAATTTAAAATACACAGCCTCCAATAATTATTCAAATTGTATAACAAATTCTGATTTTAACATAATAATAAAAACAATCACTCTCATACTTTTATATTGTACAGATTGTACAATATTGTACATGGAACACTCGTGAATAAATCATTTTTCATTTCGCGATTCTTACCTTGACCCAAACACTTGAAATCGTTCACTTATAAAAGTTAATAGATTTATTCCTTTGCGTGTAGATGATCTATAATGTCGGATTTCTTAGAATAGACATATCTATTTATAATTTTAGGTAGTTTTGATGTGCGCGTATGTATATATTTTAATTTGTATTTTATAAATGTATATGTGCGAATCTTTTAATTATTTCATACATTTTTAAACTGAGACTTTAGACGACCTATAAATTCTATTTATAATTCTATATGTATGTGAAAAATATTTGAAGAAACTGATTACAAATGCACACAAAATATACTACATTTGTATTACTGTAGAACACATTCGCATAAAAAAAAGTATTACGCGGCATATACAGTTACAAAGTAAATTCTATCCTCATATCTGACATAAATGTCTGACTATAAATTTTTACGATGATTTCTTGTACTTTACGACATAACCTGTTTAATAATAAACTTATTTTTCCTCCTTATTCAATTAGCGTATATGCACGTGGATATGTATATGCGGCGCAATATACTCGGGGAAATCTGACCTAATCGCCGTAGAATGTCCGTCTGGAAACGTTTCGGGGAAAAAATCGAGTCAGCACTCACAGCAGCAGTCGCGCTGACGATCGCAGCGGAATCGTGGAAGGGAACCTGAAGTTTCTATAACGAGGTGTGCATGTGCATCAGTAGCATTTGCGCTACGCTCCGCACATGATACTTTCGCGCGGAGAAACTTAACTTCGTCGCGGCTGCAGTGCTCCGTTATACTTATATAAGTAATCTTACTCCAGGTAATTATAACAATTTTTTCTCAACCGATCCACTTTACGTAATATTAGGCGTTGCCTGAACTTCTCCGTCTAATCTATATTGCAGTTTTTTCTGCTTACGGTATTCGGCAGCTTCTTCCCGCGCAAACTTCATCGGCATGTTCTACGAGAGTACAATATTAGGAAAGACGGTTTTATGCAAATGCACGAGCCCGGGAAGCTTTATTAAATTGTGCTAACAAAACGTCGCTCGGGAGGGGTGCTAGCTATTATATGCTAACTACTTTCTAACTCTTTTCAGCCAATTGTTTTCTAATTAAATCACCATGATGGAATACGTAAGCGCACGCCGTTCCGTAATACCAGAAAATTATGTTTCCAGTAATTAGCAAAAAATTATTACGCGCAGATCATTTTTTACTAATTACTGGAAAAACTTATTTCTTTTTTTTTTTATTCTTTCCTCTAAAAATAACGCTCCATAATGCGTTATTTTTTTATCGGATTTTTTAACGTAACTAATTATTTGATATTACTACGACTGCTATAATAAGCGCGATTAATTAATTCATTTGGCAGACCTATTTACAAAATTTCTAACTGTTCAATAAACAAAATCCTTCCGCAGTGTTAATAGCAGATTAATAGTAAATTCCATCAAAAATTGCTAGCAAATTAGCATCGTTTGTGCTCGCATTAAGCTCGTGTTTTGCCGACAGGGGGATTTGTTGTCGTAACTTGACAGCGGATTGGCGGCAGAAATCGAGTAGAATCGAAGTCGAACTCAGATTCTGTTATATTTCTATCAATTTACGTCAAAGACAGTACAGTGTGTAGACAGACCGCAGATGCTAAACATTTAGTTTAGAAGATAGGGAATGCATATATACCTACTTATATTACGTCTACGGTAGAAGGTATATATGTCAAAACTTGTTTGATTTCTGCCGTCAATCGGCCATTATTTGTTGACAAACTTTACTATATTTCTTCTAACATTCTGCCAACAACATTATATGTATACCAAATTTTTCTTGCCAATAAAAATTGTAACATACACTTTACAAAATCTATTTTGGCCGTCTGAAATATTTCGTCGTTCTCTAACCCTTCTTTTCCATGCGCCACAATTAACGAAAAGTTAATAATTTTATCTATGCTAACAGAAATATTATTACGTCTACTATTATTACTTGATAAGTTAATCGCCGATTAAGTTAATCAGTCGAGTTTGGTCGAAATCCAACTTCCCATTCTTCTAAAATAAAGTGCTCGGAATTTATTCTCGATTAATTACTCTGATATATACACGCTATCTTTCAATTCACAAAGTCTTTCACTTTTTCTTCTCTTATTGCATTTTTTATTTTTCCAAATTTTTAAGATCGATATATATGATATATATATATAGAAAAACCGAAAATTTCTACATATGCGAGAAATAATACTATCTTATAACTGTTTCTTGGCAACAACTGAAAATTTCTAAATTTATTCTATACTCACCCCGCTTATGAGTATGCAAAATTTCATTAAAATCAGAATTTGTGAATTGGCAAGGTTCCTTGTTAGCATTTCCGAAGCGGCCAGGTTTCGCATATGCGCAGCTCAAAAGTTGAGAGGCAGCGGCGTGTATACGTGTGGCTTGTTTTGGGGGCGAAAGTTCGACCGATTTCGGCGATCGAAAAGATTAGAGTATTTGAGTAAAGCATACAATAATTTTATGCAAATAAAATAAATAAATTAAAATTATTGTATGTTTTGCATCACCTTGCTTTTAGCAAGCTTTTTAAAATGTTTAAGATAATTCTTAGAAAGAATTTAACACACGATCAATCCCTGTACGATATCCTTTCCTTTCGAAGTCAGTACTTCACTGTGAGACCAAATTCGTCGCGCATGCGCGGAAAGATCATCATTTGCAATCAGCTGGGAGCTGCGAGTGGGGACTGGGGAGTGGGGGATTGACTGTTCAGAATTCGTGCAGAGGCACGATTTTGTTTCTGCGAATATTATGGACTATGGAGCATTGCTCATAACGAGATTGACATTAATTTCGATATGATAAAAAAATGCAAAATTTATCGAGTGGAGATGTTCGTAGTTTCATAGACAAATAAAGTCGTAAGTTTTAAGTCAGCTAATAACCTAAGAAAATACACTGATTGTAAGTATGACGTTCGCAAATATTGTGTGCGAATATTTTAACATAAGAAATTTTTGTACGTTCAAGGTTTCTGTTAGAATAGAAGCTCGGTTTTCTTAATATCAAAATATTGCAAAATACTCCCCCGTTACGAATAAAAACTAATTTTTATAAAATAATTCTATAATATTTAAAGATTTGCCATAAAATATTTTTGTTTTGTTTAAATAAATGTGCGGAAATAAAGACAAAAGTTGATTATATAATATAAACTTCTTTGGCTTTTATTCTATCTAAAAAAGTGTATTAAAAAAAAACATATTTATGCTTTTATGAAACTATTAAAAATCTGTAATTTCAATTCTTATATATTAACATATGATGTTTTTGAATTATAATTTTTTAGATATTGGTTATTATTTAAGATATAATTTATTTTATAAGATATTTTTTAAATCTTTTGTTACATAATTTTCATAAATTATGTCTTTCTTCTTCTTACAGAAATAAATTGAACCTAATTGTCAAATATGAGTCAGCAATGGATCATTGTTTATCTACTAATAGCATGTGCGCATTTATCATATCAGGTAAACATAAAGCAACTTTATCTATTTAATAATGATATCAATTTTTAATATGTTAAATTACAACCTTCAATCTAAAGCAAACTATTCTATAAATTCTACAAATTCCACATATTTTATTACAGAGATCAACACCAGATGCAGCAACTTACATAGCAGCTGTAGTAGAGTTTCCCCCACAATATTTAATAAACAGTTACCAGACTTTGGGTGTAAATTCTGACACATATATCAGACATATTAAAACAGCTAGTCTTGTAAGTACTTTAAAAGAAAATAATTTCAAATATTTCATAGATCATACTGTCAATGAATTAGTGTATTCTTGTCAACATTTTCTTATGTTAAAAATATTATTTAAAGCATTTGAATATTTTTTTTTAGAATGCTGATATAATCGTTTTCCCTGAAGATGGCTTGACAACAGTTCATTTGCCGGAAAGGGAACAAATGGGGGATTGGACAACTGTTATTCCTAGTGCCTCATATAATTATACGCCTTGCAGTCAAGATACTGTTGAAGTCAGCGAAGTATGTATCTCTGATGTACATATATCGCAAGAAACTAGTAATATATTAAAATTATTTAAAAAAAAAAATTAAATCCATAGACATTGAAAAAAATATCATGTGCTGCAAGGGATAATGAAATCTATGTGGTAATCAATATCGCTGAGAAAGCACCTTGCACTGACGTACCTTGCCCAAGAGACAAAATGTTCTATTACAACAGCAATGTTGTATTTGATCGCACAGGACGGATTATTGCCAGGTATCTAGTTCTTTTGTTACAATTACTTTTGTATGATATCTCATAATATTATATATGAATTAGCTAATTATAATTAATAGGTATCGTAAGACAAACCTTTTTGAGGAACATCAATTTAATGTGACATCAGTACCAGAAATAGTGACTTTTGATACTGATTTTGGAGTAAAATTTGGAACTTTCATATGTTTTGATATATTATTTCGCGAACCCACGATACAATTAACAAGGATTCATCAAGTTACTGACTTTGTATATCCTACAGCATGGTTTTCTGAAGCACCATTCTTAACAGGTAAACGAAATATGACAGAATCCTTTCTCCTTTCATCAAGGTTTCGTTCATACGTATGTGTACTAATATTATTAATTATTCTAGCTGCACAAACACAAGCAGGATGGTCATTTGCTGAAAACGTAAATCTTTTAGCTTCGGGCTACAACAGACCTGGCTCTGGCAATGCTGGCAGTGGAATTTACCTAGGTAATATATTTTTAATTTACATTCTAAATATTATTCGCAATTAAAACCTCTACTGTGCAAATATATGTACGAGATAATATTTCATGCAGGTCGTAAAGGAGTCGGAAAGGCAATAATGCCGGAAACTACGCATGAGGAAATATTGATAGTTCAAGTACCCAAGATAAAAGAGAGAATTAAGTATCATGAAAACCATCACGATCATTCAAAGGATCAAAATCAGAAAGTTAGGCCATCTTATCATGAGGAGTATGAACTACAGCAGAAGCGGCAAGACAATGCAATGATGGTTAAAGATAAAATATTGTTAAAACAAGATAATATTCACGTTTTTCAAACACATCTTTTGCAAAAATTTTCTTCCGTAGACAGTTTGTCAATTTGTAAGGATGGCTTTTGCTGCGATGCTAAAGTAGACATAGCGAAATCAGACAATACAACGTACCGTTTCGTAGTTTTTAACGGTATACGTGATTATTCAGATGTTAAAGCTGGCGTACGTGCGTGCGGTATAATTCAATGCTCGAACGATTCGATTTCATCATGCGGTTCCGTGGAAGAATCAAAAACAGTGTTCAACAGTATTGAACTCACGGCAACGTTTCATGATTATAAAGACAGTTTAATTATGCCGTCTACGTTAAATGCCGATTTACTCCCGCTTGAAGGTTGGACATATGATGATCACATTCACGATGACCATATGCATGTTAATATGGCCCTAATTAATAAAAACAATTTAGCAACATTTGGAGTATATGCGAGAGACTTTAATAGGAACAACGCAAATAGAACATCCTTTTACACCATTAATTATACTATAGTGTTATTAGTGACTTTGTTGTTATCAAGATTGTAATTTATATATGCAACACGTTTATACTTTTACCTACATTTAATTATACTCTGCATACTTTTTTGTGGTATACTTTCCAGAAGTCATGTACTTTTGAAAAAAAGTTCTGAATTATTTGTTAATAAACGAAAGTAGAAATACTTTTGTTTATTAACAAATAATTCACAACTTTTCTTTATTTCTGTTTTTCAATACTAAGAAATAGAAAAATTAAGCGAAAAAGTTAAATTTTAAATTGGGTATGTATACATATGTATATACATATATACATACATGTATATATATAATTGTATATATATGTATAATCAGCAATTTTTGTTAATTTGCAACTTGTGGCATCTATAATTATGGATAAGCATGATTTCTTTAACATTATGTATATAAGGATAAAATATTATATTTTTGATACAATCATATATAAATGTACTAAAATTTTATAGTACTTAATGTTCAATTTATTGTTAATATGATTGTAAGATTGTTACTATGTTAAATTAATATAATTGTTTACAAATATGATTAGTGATATTAATTGTAATATTATAAAATCGAGGTGAAAAAATGTAGGAATTCTGCAAAACTTCAGACATTAAATATGTATGTCAAATATCCTACAATGATATAATAAATGTATTGAACAATACATTTTGTTATTAATAAAAATGTTTTTGTCAAGAAAATACATAATCGTTGCGAATTATGATAAATGCCTCTCATCATCTATAATTATATCCAATTAACTGTAAGCATTTATATAAAAAGTAAAATCTGTTATACATATGTATGACATTTATCTCGGGAAAAATTTGAGATCTATTGAAATATAAATGTAAATAATACTTCTAAATATTCGAAAAAGCTTGTATGTTCTAAGGTCTGGAAGTAGGAAATTGACTAGAAGTGGGAGTTTAGAATTCGTGCAAAGCAAAGACATATTTTTGTCTGCAAATATTATGGACTACGAGTTTTGCCCTTAACGACATCGGTATTATTTCGATATGAAACGTTGATAAAGGAACACAAAATTTATCGCGTGGAGACGTTCGTAGTTTTATAGGCAGGTAAAGTTATAAAAGTTTTAAGTGAGCTAATAATCTAAGTAAATACATTGATATGCTTGATTTTTTGAACATTATGCATATAAATGCAAAATAATATATTTCTGATACTATTATCATCTATATACAAAACTAATTACCACATTATTCATTATACTAATCTTTTAGTACAGCTCTTTTAGTACATATAGTACTAAAATTGTATAGTGCTAAATGTTCAATTTATTGTTAATGATTATAAAATTGTTACTATGTTAAATTAATATAATTGTTTATAAATATGATTAGTGATTATAATATTGGTAATTATAATACTGATAATTGAAGCGAAAGATGTACGAATTGTGCGAAACTTCAGACACTAAATGCGTATGTCAAATGTCCTACAACGAATAATAAATATATTAAACAATACATTTTGTTATTAATAAAAATGTTTTTGTCAAGAAAATACGTAATCATTGCGAATTACGATAAATGCCTCTCACCATTGCTTCAATTTTATTCAATTAACTGTAAGTATTTATATAGAATGTAAAATCTTTTATATACATATGTATGACATGTATATCTCGGGAAAGATTTGAGCTATATTGAAATTTTAATGTAAATAATACTTCTAAAAATTATATTCGAAGAAACTTGTCATTTCTCTCTTCTCTCTAATAAAAGATACACAACAGCGTCTTTATCTCGGAATACTTGAAATACTACGTATTCTTGAGGGGAGACTATCATTTCCCTCGATTAATTAATTGACCAGTCTAGGATTCATTTATCAGTTATAATTTATATATTAGTTGGTAATCAATCATATTCATAATAAATCGATAAATTATTCCATAATGATATTTACAAATAATGATAGAAAATATTGTTCAATGATAAAAATAATCAATAATGAATAATGTGGTAATTAATTTTATCTGTCTTTCATGAATAATATCGTTGTAAATAATTATTTTTGATTACTTTGAGTCAGCCTTTAAGAAATTGCGCAGGCACGCCCATACTGACATACCAAGGCCGAATTTTGATGAATATCGACGAAAAGACACGGAAACGAAAATTACCGACGAACGAAGAGCGCTGAGAAGCATTGTCTCTTTTAGTAATGGCTCCAAAAAATTTTATATCTTTTCTGCATCATTTATCGATGTTTTTGATATTATATATTTTATCAAATGTCTCTCCTATGATAACAATAAGACATTTTGTAGAATCTTTACTTAAGTCAGATGCAATTAAATATAATATTTTTTCAGCTAGTTGGGTTGCTGGATTGTACGCTTTTAAAGCTCACTTATTGCATAATATAGAGTTCTTGAGTGCCTCGCGAGATGTCATAGCGGAAGCTCAAACAGAAGTGAAATTAAATGGTATACCGGAAGGAAAAGTGTCAGTAGTTAAGTGGCGCGGCAAACCTGTTTTTGTCTTCCATCGGTAAGCAAACCAATAAATAAAAAGAAAACTTAATAATTATAGGAAAAAGCAGAATAAAATAGACACACACACACACACACACACACACATACGCAATCACTATCGTTACAAATGATCTAAATCTTTTGTTGCTGAATGCCACTATATATATCTGCCGAATAAAAACTAACTTTCTCTTTCATGTCTTTAATTTTTAATTATTTAAATTGGACTGTCGTGCGTGAATCTGTCTTGCAAAATTTCAATCTTTTTTTACCAATTTAAATAGAAAATATATGTGGTCATTCTCGTTTAGAGAATCTATTTTACTCCACACTTTTCTAGTGAAAAAAAATTCTCATAATATCTCATATATAACATTTTGAAGAATTTTTCATATTTATAATTTATAAAAATTTCCCCCAAAAAACTTTAAATTCTGGAAATTTTATAAGTTATCTTTGAAAATTATAGAATGAGAAAATTATAGTCATTTTAAAATGTTTCACAATTTACACATATAAATTTAATTCTGAAAATTATATAAATATAGTCTGAAAAATTATGTGAACAATTCTAAGAAAAATTTTTCACTAGACAGAGTTCCTCCTATAAAACCTAAACATTTACTACAAAAATAAACTTCTCTGAATAAAATGCTGCTTTTAAAGCAAATTTTCACCGGTATTTGTTATTGATAATAAGTGTCCGATCGCGCTGACGGGGCTAATCTTGCAGGACACAATCGCTCATCGAGCAGGAAAGAGCAGTGAGCCTGTCAATACTGCGCGATCCGGAAACGGACGATGACAGGGTGAAAAGACCGGAGTGGCTGATTGTGGTGGCTATCTGCACGCACTTGGGATGCGTGCCAGTTCCGAACGCCGGCATGATACCGGGCGGCTTCTACTGCCCGTGTCACGGCTCGCACTTTGACGCGGCCGGCCGCATACGGAAGGGCCCGGCGATGACGAATATGGAAATACCCGAGTATAAGTTCATAAACGACCACAGTATCATTATCGGATGATGCGTCTTCGGATTGATACGTATTGATAAAGCATATTAAATAATGAGAGAGTGCCGTGAAGAATTTAGAATATAATATATTAATTATTTATATATCGCATCACAATTGTTTAGCTGTATAATTTCCGCTCGAATTTCGTGATGATAATACAAGAATGAATGGAATTTTTTGTACGTCCAACAAAATGTTAATATAAGATTATAGCTTTTAAAATAATATCACAAGCTGTCATAAATAATTTTTAAAAGAACTGTACATGTATACTTCAAAGACTGCGCTTTGCAGAATATGTTTCTCAGAATTGATTCGCATTGAAGACCAACTGAGGACACATCAGTAGGCTTTCAGACGCGTTCAGATTCCCAAATGCCACTCAAAATCAGATATCATTTTACCCTATTCACCGAATATTAAACAATAACAAGACGTTACCTGAGAAGGAGCATTTGGATACGTCCCGAAACCGCATGGCCGCCACTCACACTATTCACAGTCGGCTACGCGCACCACACTAGTATGTATACATATATCTCACTAGGTTGCGATTCCACGCTGGGTGCACCCGGGTTCATTCTATCCTTGTTTAACAGTCGATGAAGAACAAGGATAAAATGATATCTGGGTGCACCCAGGTGGAGAATCTAAACGCAGCAGAGTACCCTCGTGCTAGTACGCTTCTCTCTGGTTGGAATTTCGTTCGATGCGCATGCGTAGAAAACTGGTACCCCTCTCCTCTGACTCCTCATGTACTACGCAAGTCGCAAAGCGATGAAAGATTGCGTTCGCTGTGTTCAGGCCGTCCTAACCTATCAAAACAGTCCGAGATTTTTTCCTGTGTTGTTTGATATCGAATTGATACTGATCATTACGCGGTGTCGTATAATATTCAACGTTTTTTCAATATCTTTTTTATCGCGATCGCGAATAAATTGGGCTGACATGTGCAAACTTCACTGAAGATCCTCGGCAGAAGCGTTGAAATTCTCTGACTCGAAGATAACTGTAGTTTACAAATAAGAATCACAATGACACCGCCGATGGAAAGGATCCAGATTTTGGAGTCTATCGAGAAAGATATTATACAGTGTTTACAAAGCGCAGGTAATCGTCCAGTGTTTTTTATGAAACCGTTAGTATGAATTTCTCTAGTGCGATATGTTGAAGTACAAATTACTTGCAAAACAAGGTTGAATGTACATATAAATTCTTTCATATAAAAATGCATTGAATAAGCATAATTTCATCAATATTTCATTAAAATTCGAGTTGAGGAAGGCTAAACTGAATAATTTCCAAGACACGAAACAAAGATACTCGACATACAAAATGTATGTACAATCAAGCTGTGTTTTATGTTACGCAGGACAAGCTTGCACAGAATTGAGCAAGGAGAAGTCGAGCTTGAAACAGGCGGAGTCGCAGACGCATCTATTCTTAAAAACTCTAGCACAATTGGAATCTAAATTAAGCGAGCAGATTAATTATCTCACACAGGTTTCTACTGGTATGTACACTTGTGTTTAACAACATCATTCGCACATTGTTTTCTTCTTCAATGTATGTTTTTAAATTAACAATTTCAATAAACGTTTCTCGCAGGTCAGCCGCACGAAGGTTCTGGATATGCAAGTCAAAAGGTACTGCAAATGGCGTGGCACAGATTGGAGCACGCACGAAGTAGAGTTAACGAATTGGAACGTATAAAGAACAAGCTACGATAAGTTTCCTACATAATTTTTCTCAATCTGAAATATATATTGTACCGTAAAGGCGAGTAACGTTACATTAATGTTGCTCATAACTCAGCTAAGAAATTATAATAAATTTACATACTTTTTTGTCAGTAACATTTGTCAGTTAAAACTTTTTTACCTGTTTACATTACAATAATTATTGCAACATATACATTTATAATCATTTTCACTACAAATTGCGTACAAAGACAATTATGACCACTGCTTTTGAGACTGAATTATGACTACATCCAGCAAAAACAAGCAGCTTAATAAACACTTGAATTAGCTGATTAAATTTTGAAGTTTAGACACTTGAATTAGCTGATTATATTTTTAAGTTTAGAAAAATAATTATATCCCAATTCAGTTCTAAAAGTATAATCCAATTGGCGCAAAGCGTTTATTAAGCTACATTTTTGCTGAACGCAACCAAATGTGAATTTTAATAATGTGACAACTTTCTGGGTATCTTCTTTATTGTCGGGTGTATACAATATGCTAGAAAAATACATAAATAATTTCTTTATATGTATATGTCTATCTTATACTTATCACATATATCATAAAAATAATAAATTTTATGAAAACATTCCAACACGCGATATATTATGCATTTTAAAACTTGCATGTATGAAATGAACATTGTAAAATTTAATTTTTTAACATTCTTTATGTTACATAATTCTTTGATTTATCCTCATCCGTCTATAACTCCCATGCTACGTTTTACCGTAGCAGCTAATGAGAGCCGCGATCTTCTCTCCTCGTCCAATTGTTTTGTTAGTAGCGACATTTGTGATTGCAAATCAGTCATTTGATTCTTCAAGGTTTTAACAGTTTCCGATAATATCCTGTGTATAAAAAGTATACATAAGTATTAATATATACACTAATTATATATATATATTATTCGTACTCTATCAATTTCTGATACAACTGTTACGAATATCGTTTAATTGCTAAGCTTATATAATATAATAAATAAAAGAATTAGGAGAAGAATAAGAATTAGGAGAAGAAAAAACTCCGTTTCTTCTTCATTAATTCTCAATTAATTTAACCAGTAACAATGATGAAGTATTTCTGATACGAGTTAACGCAGTTTTTTGTTATTTTTATAGAAATTAAATTTAAACATATTTATTTCAAGGAGGGAAAAATGTGTATTTTCGAAATAGCAGTTTTATACTCACCTATCATTACAAGATTCCCAATTGCCTCTATTATGCATCAGTGATATCCTATCCCGTGATTTTTGTGATGACTCATAATCTAACATAGCTGAAAAATAAGAACAATTTTTTTCGTAATATAAAAGATACTTTGAAAAGTTTCAATATACCACACCAATTAACTTGTAGAAACTTACTATTAGACTCTCCAGAATGTACAGTGAATCTAGCATTTACAGAAAGACAATAACCTTCTATTACTTTCAATATGATTGCATCTTCTTCAAACTGTCGCTCATCTACGAGATAAAACATACAATAGAAAACTTGGTCACATATATTAAATACTTAATATTTAGTATTAAAATAATCTTACTGCATGATCTTGGTGAGCGTGATGTATCTGTAGTAGTATCTATTTTTCCAAAATTTTTAAGAGAATACAGGGGAGGAGCAGGTCTTAAGGATGCAATACTCCAAGGTGTCTTAATTCCTGGAGATGTACAATGCTCCATTGCCGGTCGTTGGTGCTTTCCGTTCGATTGATTGCTCGTCTGCTATAATAAATAAGAACCATATGTAATATTTCAATACTATCGACACATAATTAAGATTGTTTCTATGCACAATACTTGCACAGACTAAAAGTTTCTCTATTAGAATGTAATTTATATTATGTATACACTGTTTTGCAGAGTTCTATTTTTAATAAACATTTCTTCATATAAAGATACAAGCTAGAAAAGAAGTACTATAATTATAAATTAGATTGGAGTGCACGCCCTACCTAAAGACTAAAGCTGTGTTTATAATCAAGCTAACTAGAATCTGTTGCGAAGTGAATGATGGCGACGTGATAAAATAAAGGCATACGCATAAAAATTTGTGATGTTTCTCAGGAGACTATTCTAGAGACTATATATAATGTATTATATTAGTAAAGCGACAGCTTACTTCACACAACATGGCTGTGAAATAAGAGGCATACTTTTGATAGAAAATGATAATTAGTAATAAAACACCAGCATGGTTAAAAAACTGAAATGATCAAAAAGAAACAGCCATGCCATGGAAGCTTGCCTTGTTCCGTGCATCCAAATATCGGGATAGATTTCTTGAGCCACCAATGAGCATATAATCCAGATGAATACACTTGGTTTGTCGGCTCGTCATGTTCCTCCATAATTGGCTGGATTGGACGAACTACGCGCCTCCCGATTTTCTTAATTACGCACTGATGCGCATACGGTATCGGTTGCGTATACCTTTTTCCTTGTACATTCCCATAATTTAACAGAGGATGAATAAATACAGTCTCTTGAGTTTTCTTCCCACTATTACTGGGCTCGTCGTCGTTAGCGTCGCTACCGACATCATTAGATTTCGCGAGGCTTGTACATTCGTCAATATTTTTCGACGAGGCCAGCGAGTGAGCACTGTCTCGAGGCGTAGAGCCAAATGGCGAGGTGCAAATACACTGATGCTCGAACTTATTCTCATCGTTATCGCTTTCGCTATGGGACGTTCTCACAGGATCTATATACTTAGCATGACTAGACGTGTACGACTTGTAACAGGAATTGATTTCGGATGAACGCAAGTGATAACTCTCGGCCATTCCCGAATCCGAAGACCGTAAGCTAATATTTGCGCACGTTTCTCCAAATTCTCTCCCGATGCTATCGCAGTTATCATCGTTCTGGGATGCGGAAGTCGTGGAATATCGAACCGGGACGTCCGAGTTCTTTGGATAAAACTCCTCGATAGCTCTCAAATATTTATAATTTACAGTCTGACCTCCGCCATGTGATATCTCCAAATGCTCCCGACAAAATTTATTGCGTGCTTGAAGATTTGACGTATACGACTTGCTTGACGCGAGCGGAACGTTCGGCAGGACGTGACTCGTTATAGCACCAGCGGGTAAACTCTTACTAGTCTCGAAGGTACATCGATTGTCGCAATCAACTCTCGGTGCGAAATTCGTGAGTGAGGAAGTGCTTGCTATTCCGACGGTACTGAGATCAGTATTGTCTATTACATATCTAACGTCCAGTATCAACGAGGATTTACGCAATATTCGCGGTTCCTCTTGCGCATTACTTTCATCTGACTCTGATCCTTCGCTAGCGCGAGTAGGAAAAATAGTGTAGGTCACATTGCACTTTCTCATTTTCACGCTAGTCAAATCTGGCCTCAGAACATATTGAATATATAACAATTTCTTCATCAATTCAGGATATATGACTTTTCTCCTCACGAGCTTCGCAAAGTATCTCGAGAGTCGAGCGTACGGAGGATGATGGAAACTCACACGAGGCACGGTTGGCGATTTCAGGAGGCTAGTACACTGCTCCTGAGTTAAGAGATCGATCCAACGCTGTCTCTCTTCTTTTGTGGCGCACAGCACGACGATGCTTTCAATCATTGGTCCTTAAAGCACATATACACACAATTCTTAAAACAATGATGTAATAATACGTATATATATTTATATATATATATATATATACGCATTATTACATCATTTTAATTTTTGTGACTTGGGAACAAAGAATATATCTGTTGATACACTTCCTTATTCCCACGTTAGCAAAATAGCATTTCTTATTTGTTTTGTGAGATAGAATCATGGTACATTTGAATAAAATATTGATAGCCATACCAGTGACTTCTAGAGCATTCCTTATCTCGTCCGTATCTTCCATTCCAGTTACATTAATGCCGGTTAACGGAAGTTTTCCCTATGCAGATAATCGCAACATAAATTAAAATCTTGATATGTTGTGTTTCTAAAGCAGTATAACAGAGATATTTTCAAATCTACCTCGTAAATGAAGGAACTCATCCTGGGGCTGGTACTAAGTACCAGCAGTGTGGTAGGAAATAAAACAAAGTATCTATCTCTACGATCTACGCCGGTCGCTAGAGTTACAGATCCGACGTGAATAATCTCGCCTAGCGAATTCAATTCTTCACCTTCCCAACCTTTAATTCCACTAGTTAATATTTGAAGTGCTAATTCACGCTGCTTACGTATGGAAGCGCAATGATCCTGCGAATAGAATGGATCACGATAAGCAAATTTTAATTAAACATTGATAACATTTTTTGACATGTAATAAATAAATGAATTATCATACCGCGATTTCCCTATATACTGTTATACTACGTTGAGTGTCTCCTCTGTCGGGATGATTTTTTTCGGTGTATCTTTCTAACTCTTGAAGCATAGCAGAGTATTTGTCCAATCTTCGGAACGGTTTGCTAAGACCAGTGGTTAATACCAATATACCAGGTGATATCGCTCCACTACGTTCCATAAATTCATTTAATTCATCTCTGAAATAATAATACACGATATATTTGCAATCGATTATTATCTTTCATAACATTGCTTTAATAATCCGCATTATATATTTTCTAGTGGAATATTGAATCAATGGGATCTGTGCTAAAACAGTCATTTGTCAAGTAAAAAATTCAGATCTGATTTCCAGAAATGTTCATATATGGTATTATAAATTTTGAATGAAAAAATATTCCACTATGATAAAAACATAGTATCCAAAATATGAATTTAATTTCAAAGTAGCCACGAACAAATCACAATACTGTGTTATCTTTCGAAAGGCAGAAATTTCCAAATTTCATATTGAAGACCAAGGCTCGATTCGTGCAAAAAAAAGAATAAAATATATTTTTAAAGTACCCACCTGTACCTATCTAATATGCAAACAGCTTGCGGATGATTGTTACAATATGTAGTATGAATAGACTTCAGCCTTGGCGCAATAGTTAAGAAAAGATTGCCCACTCTCGCAGAGAGTCCCTGCAAAATGGTTCCTTCCAAATTTGCCAACAAACATTGGTGAGTCTCCAAGACCTCGTGTATATTACCAAGTAGTTGCTTATACTCGTCTTTCTTCAGTCTACAATTGCACAGATTTCAAATGTAATATAGATATATAATATACAATACACATTTTTTTATATCTTATTAAGCGACATGACTTACATATTCGATGTTTCAAGAGGTTGTAAAAAATTATTCATCAGCCCTTGGAGCTCAGCTACATTCACTCTTTCAGAATCAACGATATCCTTTAACACTATATCGCGATTGAGTTTCTGATGCACAGGCGACTCTTGCGGACTCCTTTCTGGGGACGTCTTAATCGACGCATGACCACCATCTGTACGTATCAGAATATATACAACGTATATAAAACATGTGCAACAATTATTTTCAGTATAAAAATACAGGATTTGAATGTATTGAAACGTGTAGAATGTTAAACAAGAAAAGATCAAGATAAATGTGGATCAAATTATGTATTATTTAAGTCTCATTTAAGATATTAAAATATAAACATATTCAAAGATCATCGTACCTGGAACCTTATATTCCTTGACGTAATTCGAAGGGAACCAACCAGTCTTATCGTTCAATGTGCCCTCCCACCAGCCTTCGTCGTCCACCTGCGTTATCGTTATTACATCCCCTTTCTTGAAACACAGCTGGAAAAACAAAAGCACTGCGTATAGACACGTACAAATGTATTTTCACCCTGGGACAGTATCGCTCTAGGAGCGCGATATTTAGAGCACTCTACAGGAGAGAGGGAGAGGAGGAGGAGGAGGAGGAGTATTCACATACTTCATCGTTATTCTTCCCTTTGAAGGAGAAGAGTGCCGTGACGAATTTCGGCGCATCGGGCTTCGACATAATTCTCGTGTTTCGTTAGCCGCGATACGTAGAAGAATGTCGGTGATCTAATCCCGAGGTAGCGCGCATCTTTCTTTCACGGATCAACAGCCTTCAAAGGCCACACAACAAGGCCCCCCCCCCCTCCTCGCGATGCGACAAGACGCCTGTCTCGACCAGCACAGCCCGTAGCTCCTATTTTTAAGAAAGTCCGCTGCGTCAAAACTGGTCAGAACTCAAAACATCGACGGACCGAGGCACCGAGCCCCCTCGTCACATGTTCCAGCTGACCAACAACACACTCTTGCGCCTGTCACGAAAAAGTTCATCGCGCACCTACACTATGCACAAATGTGGAAGTGCAGTCACATACACATACATATATGCTCATTGTGATACAGTCGTATACGGTGCTGTAGTGACATACACATGCCCCGGAGCGTATGCGCACACGCGCTTCTGCCAAAAACTTTGATAGACTCGTGTCTATAAATAAGCGCAACCCGTGTGTCACGTGACTATATAATTACGAACACATCGCCGCAGGGTGATACATCGTCGCGGCCGTGAAGGTATTTTTTACCGCGTTCATCGCTTCGAAAAGATGCGAGTGTATTATAGACATCGAGGGCGAACGGAGGAAATGTCGAAAGAATGCGCTCGATTTATAATCAAGATTTAATTATTTCGTACAAATCAATTTTTATTTTACGATATACCGGCAAATTTAAATTTCCCGATATTTGCTATAGTTATAAAAATTCACTCGATCATTACACGTTCACATAATATAATATATATATATGCATCCAATGCAGCTTCTACAGAGGGAACTATTACAAAAAAGAATATTACATACTAAAACATATTTTACAACAAAAATTTGTGCAGAGAAAAACAAGAACACAAAAGAACGCTGGTTCTGTTCTAATATGAAATTAATTCGGAGATGGAACTGCCTAGTTTTCAATGAAAACTCGGCATTTCTTTCAATTAACGAAAGTTACAATTTGCATAAAATAAAAAGACTTTTCCTCTTATTATAGGGAGCTGGAGAAGAAAGCGCTCCAAGCACCACGTATTCCCTTTCTACGCCACTAACGTCAGATTGTCGCATGCGCAAATGATCGTAGTCAATCGGTGCCAAATTGCGACTAATTTGTTACTTCGATATTTCGAGAATCGCATTTCGATATAAGATTTCAAAAATCGCATATCACGAAACTCACCAGAGTCGCAATCAAATTGCTTCTAACTTTCTGAATAACGTAATTTATTTTAATTGAATGTAAATATTGTTTTCTTTTTCTTCTATATTTTATTTATATTTTATTTCTATTTACAGATATATATATATATATATATATATATATATATCTGTTTTGTATCTTCTCAGGATAAATTAAATCATCTCTAAGGACAGGATAATTGATTCTGATTAAAATCTATACATGTATAGAACTGTTCGGTATGAATTCCGAATTATTCGGAATTATTTTGCTTTCCTTTGAAAACATAATAGAAATTCGGAAAATAATTGAACAATTCTAATTGGAATCCATTCTAAACAGTTTTATAAAATTTATACAGTTATATATGTTCCTTAGCTAGATTAAAAATTAAATTTATTGAACAACTAATAATTATTTTATCTATTTTGTTAGATTTTTTTAATACGGATATTTGATCGATGGATGACATGCAATTATCAATATTGCAAATATTAATTTAATATCTGTATATATATTATATGCAATAAAAAGCAAAAAAATTGCTTTTATCTACATTTATCTTTTGAACAAAATAAACAATTTTTACACATTCAATATACATACAAAAATAAAAAATAATGTATATTATATAATGTATTTAAAAACTAATTAAACGATATAACGTATAAAAATCGCTTGAAATCAGTTCTTTTCACAGCTACATAAACTTTTTCGTTATATTTAACATCTAAATTAATTTCAATAAATCTTGTTGCAAATTAGTCGCATATTATATGCGTCTCGGCTGCTATGGCGTAACGGAAATCCATTTAACATCCGGAACAATGCTATTAAGGTCGGGACGCGAATCGGTTGCGAAAGCCAATCATTTTGAGATTCAATCAAGCTTGAAAACAACGTAAATTCCTCTATTTGCATTTTAAGCGACTAAATAACAATATAATTTTCTTAAATATGAGATCAATTGAAATTTTAAAATATTAAAAATGTATGTGTGCGTTTTAAATTATTGTCAATGAATTTATTAATTTTTAATATTTTTATATAGTTTTATATAATTCTTTGTTACAAATGATTTCTCAATGAATTTTTTAATTTTCAATATCTATAGTTTTATATAATTCTTATCTCATAAATGAAAGCATTTTTTTGTGTTGAGTTACAAAATTTCTATAATTGTATTAATTACTACTATTATAAATATTAATTATTTTAATTAATTAGAATGGAGCATATGCATTTTGGGCAGTTTGAGAAGAAATCATTGAATTTACTTCTTTTCTTATTCATTTTCATTTGCTTAATCCAAAAATTTTATTTCAAATTGTCTCAATATTCGGAAATTTTTTTACATTTTAAACAAAAAAAAATATTAATTTATTTTATTACTTTATCGAGACATATCAGCGAATTTCTCTTAATCTATTTTTATAAAACTCGTGGCTTTTACTTGCATTAAAGAATTACAAAGCGATAAAATATATCATTATTTTCTTCTGTTTAAAATGTGAAAAAATATGTTTCCCAGATACTGAGACAATTTTAACTACGATTATCGGATTCAGCAAGTGAAATTGAGTAACAGAAAAGGTGAGCCCAACAATCTCTACTCCCTAAAATCACCTAAAATGCATAAATTTTTACATAATAATTATATTGTTATTGTATTAGTAAAAAAAATTATATCGGATTTGCATAATAAGTTAATCAAAGTACTGCAGTCACTGCAGAGCAGCATTTCATTTTAAAATTTGATATATAGATTAAGAGTCACATGATCACAAGAAATGTCTTTTTTTTTTAGAAAAAACAAAAATTGCTTAAAAATATATAATCTATTTCAATTATAATATTTTGTACACTTATTTATTACACAGAGAACAAAATGTTGATAGGACTAGAATACGTGCTTGAACTCCGACACTATGCGTTCCCAAAACAACATCTCCTAAGGAATCTGTTTGTAGAATGAAGGAAATTCCTTAATTTTTCATGCTTATCGCGTCCAGAATAGAAAATTCGTCATGGGGATCGCTTTTATATAACCGATCGCATCACAATGCGATCCGCGTACGTTGATATCGTTAAAGTGAGACTTCAAAATCGAACGGATATGTATATAACAAGGGAGAAAGAGATGGGTGAAAAGGAAACATCGCAAGACGAAGGGCGGTGAGGGGAAAGACGGACGGAGATAAAGCTATTGACCCTCGCCCTCTCAATGACCTGTCGGAGATATCATTCCACTAAATTTACTGACGTGCGTCCTCGGTCAGTCGAACGCGTGCATACAGTTAGCTACGAGCTAGTACCGCTCGTCTTCGTTCACTGATAAACACTTACATCCCTGGGTAGAAAGAAGGTAGCAAGAATAATTATCAGTGTCAGTTGGAGATCGTGTCGCAAACCTGACTTAATCGTAAAATTGGAATTAAGTGATATACATATATTAATTCGTTGACAAAATCCATAAGTGAATGGTGAGGGATTTTTGAGGGAGGAGCTACGACGGGAAACGAACGGTGGGGATTCTGAGAAATTTATGATTCGATTATGCGTTGATATTTTTTATGATAGCGGTTGTATCGCAACGTCAGTAGGGCCAAGTATTAAGTGATATATTGGTGCGTGTCCAAGAGAAAGTACGGATTAACATGCGGTGCGAAACGCGCTCGACGCGATCGGAAATGCGAGTGTACGCGACGGTCTTCCTGGTGGTGTGCTGCTTCCTGTGTCTCCCATGTTCAGGCGAGGAGCCAAAAGCGAGCAATACCTTGTCATCTTCGATAGGTACGATATTACATCGACAGATGTAATTTAGTGAAATCGATCCCCAGCGCTGTCTATGTATTTTTTTAAATCGTTTAAATAAGCGCAATTGCATTGAATGACTTTTATTTCCTGTTGTCTCTATGTATTTCTCATCATTATTTAAATATATAAATTGTTTAAATATTATGTAATCAAATTAGATATTATGTGGACAGAGGAGAGTATAATTTCCCCAGTAGTGTAGCACGTCAATGATTCTTTAATCTTATGGAATAAAAATTAGGTTCTCAAAGTTTATTCTTTCTGGCCAGTTTATTTTTCAATCATAATCAAAATGCAACAAGAAAAATTATATATTCTTTATTTTCCATCTCCTATTTTCTATTGGGCTCTTAATAAATTATTTTTTAATAAATAATTTAAATTAAATGTGATTCAAAAAAATTGTATATTTGTAGACAAACGATTATAATGCTTAATATTTTATAATATTGAATATTTATTTTTAATCGGTTGCTAATATCAGATTTTCTATAAATTATTTAAATATTACTCAATATCTTAAATTGAAAATTATATGAACAAGAAACTATATTTTCCTTCTTGATTTAAAAGTGAACTTTTTAAGAAAGTCGCAATAAACTTTGAAAAACTAGTTTTTACTGTAGAAGATTGAAAAATTATTGACGTACTTACTACTCGTTTCATAATATATAACTACGACGCGCTGTTATTTTTTATGTAAACAATTTATTCTTGCGCAATTTACAGTCCAAGGAGCAGTCATAACATAGATTGTTATAGGATAAAGTTATCTCATTTGCAAGTCTCAATGATTAATTTTTGCGCAAGATTGAGAGCACAATAATTAATTCTTTGAACCAGAATTTACGTTTAATAACAATTTTTGAGCGTCAATACTTTCGTAATTAAAAAAAAATTGTCTCTCGTAAACTTTATAAATTACGTATTTTTCTATATTTACTTATTCACTTAATGTCGTTTTTAATTCGATTAAGCATGGTATGACTTATTCTAGGCAACAGCACGGCAGCTCAGATAGCAGCGGGCGAGCAGCGGCTCGGGGATCAGATTCGTGCGATTCTCAAGCATTATCAGCAAGCGGATCCGGTCGGGCTGCCGGGCGCGCCGATACCGGATCCGATGCCAGTGCCGGATATGAAGCATTCCTTCTCCATATACACGATGAATTTTAGGAAGATCAATGTTTACGGACTGACCAAGTTCCGTATCGAGCACGTAAAATCAGAACTGGCACATATGCAGGTAAAAAAGAAATTATATAAAAGAGAACGTCAGAAGGAAAGGTTTACAAAAGCGGAAGACCAAGAAAAAAGATATTCAAAGTAAAGTTTGAATTGATGCAACAGTACTTCCTTTTCAATGCTCTTCATTAATTTCTACGACTAAAAAATGTGTATAATGTATACCGTGTTATTATTATTAATTAATAATTTTAGCATTATAGTAATAGATAGTTATTAGTGCAATATTATAATCAGTTATTAATACAATAATATGAATAGGTTTTTAAAAATAATAAATGTTGATTAATACAATATTGATTTATAGTTATAAATCTGATGTCAGTGCCGAGACATTACTTACATATCTATAACTGCAAACACACAATATTACAGATTTTATTAACCAATCGATTTCCTTGTCAAAATAACACAAAAATGTAACAGAAACTTCACTATTAAATATAATTCTAATTATTAGACATAACATTTAGTAGAAATAATTTTTATTAATATTTCGTAGATGTAAAGTTTAGTAAATGCCTTTAGTAAACGAGAAGTAAAATGTTTGAAATTTTATATGAATATGCGTTTATGTTACGTAAAAAGTTTACGTAAAAACATGCGTTATATTTCAAGCAAACGTAGTAGAAAGATGATAAGTAATACAATCCGCGGCATTTTATAGTGGTGGAAACAGGAAGAGTAAAATATACTCTTCCAATTTTAAAATAAAATCTCTTTTTACTAATAATTTATACGGAAAAATATTTAAATTATTAATGAGCAAGCAATGTGTCTCTTAAAATATAATTTACTTATTCCAGGTATAGAATATCTTCTAGATTATATCTAGATCTTGATTTTTTTTCTTGTTTTATTCTTTACATCTTTTTAAAGTTGTTAATCTTTTATTTTTTATTTGTATTTATAATTATATATATTATATCACACATATACACTTATATTAATATTATTTATCTTATTCTATTATGTACTATTATCATATTATATTTTTATTCTATTTGTATATTTACTATTATTATATTTATTTTATTTTTGCGCTGTGACGCTTGTTTTTCTTGCAACTTTACGGTTTTTGCTGGAATGTAAAAGTAATTGTATTTTTGAGGTATCCGTCGCAGTAAAGATCGATGTTCTTGATATTCGTGGATTATACACATTGGCGTCGTGGCTCTCGAGGTCCGAGGGCGATTTTATGGTGACACTCACTGGCGTAAACGTTAATGGTGTTGCCAGACTAGAAGTGGGCACCGATGGCAAATTACAAGCTCAGGACATCGACTTGGATTTGACTTTCAATAAGATTGACCTGGACTTCAAGAACTTAGGATTCCTCGGTTCAGTTTTTCAAGGTGTCATCAATTCTGTCGGAACCTTCATATTTGACAGCATCAAACCATTTATATTGAAGGAAGTTAATACAAACGTGAGGTACGATCTTTTGATTCTTGAAGAAATGTTTCCTTTATGTCGAAAACTATCTAAAGAAATAAATAAAAACGAGATAAGTAGAGAATAAAAAACAAGAAAAATAACATGAAAAGTACTTGATTATTACATAAATAGTGATCAAGAATAATTGATTTTTCAAAATGACAGTCAAAATTTATATCAATTTTAATTTAGTTTTTGTATAACATGCATTGTTCTTTCTTAAAATTTTATGCATCTATTAATTTAAATTACATATTTTTTTAAAGTTTGCGTTTTAATAATAGTATTTTTGCTTTTATTCTCTTGAGAGAGAGAGAGAGAGAGAGAGAGAGAGAGAGAGTGAATTTTTCGACTTATTTTTTTTTTTGACGATATAATATATTTCAGGGGCGAAGTGAACAAGCAGATATCACAATTACCGCAATACTTTCCGAATTCGATTTCACCCTTCGATATGGCAATCGCAGAAGCCCGCAAGCAAGTTTCTCAGATGGGCTATGATCCGTACAAGCTAAAGGATTATACTCAGAGCGTCGGTGTATTCACCGTGACCTCGTCGCATACCTGGATCACTGGTCTGGCTAGTTTCTATCGCATGGGAAACATAACTATTACCATGGAGAATGGAACTGTAAGTGCAAATTTTTAAAAGATCTAATTAAGATATGAAATAAACTCTAAAGCATTAGCGTGCTAAAATATATTTTCAATCGAAGCGTTTTTGAATATGTTGAAAAATATTGCTGGAATACAGGCGCAGAAAAATTTTCTGTATGTGTTTCGAAGAACATATAACACGTGTGTTACACATGAATTGTAATCTAATTTAAAATAGATAAATTTCGTCCACGATTAAATTGCTAAACGCAAAGCAGCTGCGTCGGTCATATAATTGCAATCGTCGTTGCGTAAACATTACGTAAGGCACCGCGCTTGTAAATCATTGCAACGCGCACGGTTTTTGGGTTTTGCACGTGCGTATAGATGACGTTTGTTTACCGTGGACTTTGTACTTATACGCTACGACGCCTAATACAGGTATACGCACTCCTGGACGTCGGCACCCAGGAACTGGAGGGCAAAACGCACTGGGAGGTGAGCGTGATCGGCGGTTTCCTGTCGCGCGCCGGCACCGTGTCCTTCACCGTCCAATACTTCCGGGTGCAAGTGAAGCTGAGCCAGCCGCTGGACACGCGGAAGCGCGCCACTTTGGAGGAGCTGGAGCTCGAATTGGGCAACATCCAAGCGAGAATCCACGGCGCCGGCACGTTCGATTATCTCGTGGAAGCGAGCGTTAATATACTGCCGAACCTTTTAAGGTAAATCGTAATAGCCGCGGCCTTGTAAAAAATGCGTCTCGCGCCGATCTCAAGGTGACGCCCGTAATCGGCGATTTTCCGACACCGATCGAATCACAATGAGCATTAGGAGATGTGTCTAACGCGGTGAAGAAAACCATTATCCTTGACAATGCCGAAAAAAATCCTTAACAAGCGTTTCGCTTAAATTCTGTACGTTTCGAAGCGTTTTATTTGATGTTAAAGCAATCTTGCTTGCGTTTTTTAGCTTTTACAAAATTTCTCTACTTCTTATAATTATCTTCGTGTGTTATAATTATAATTAAAATGATCTGGAATATCTAGAAGACTAGAGATTATATCTTTGAGTGTCTTTATTAGACTCTTTTTGTTAGACTTTTATTCAAATATTTCGACTGAGAGAAGAAACAATTTTGTACTCGTATTTCTTTTTTATTTTTCTTTACTTTTTCAAGATTCCTTATTTAAGCTCTTCTAACTTTACTTTTTTATTCCTAACTTTCGTAGATATCAGATCATGGACGCGATCGAGGGACCGTTGAGGAGACGCATACAAGACGAGTTGGACACGGTAGACATGGAGAAATTGATCGATGAGAAAATTCCGGTGATCGAGGAGCAGGCTAGGTGGATGCAGGGTTTTGTACCTGCAGAGGAAACGATCTTAGAGGAACCCACGTTGTCACCGCACAGTCAAGACGATCAAATGCCGTTTTCTGAGAGCGAAGAGGAACGAGGGCCATCGTAAGAAAGGCGTCGATGAATCACAATCGAACGTTCAAGCTGTTAACCCCCCAGACGGCCAATAATTCGGGATAAATTCCCATTTATAATGTAAGCACGTATTGTACATCACGCGTGATGTATGCGTGTATTTTATATAATTCGTGTACATTTTGATTTTTTAAATGTTCTGTATAATTTATAAATAGAATTCCTTTTCATGAATCATAAATCGACCGAGAGCAAGCTTCGCAGCTCAGAAAAGAATGGAAGAATTGAAAAATGTATGCACGTCTTTGTGACACATTTGACAAACATGCGCAATTTATGTTCGATGAATAATTCAGTTACGACTTGACAAAATATTCAATAACGAAATTGACGAAATATCTATTGTGGCCTATATTTTTTTCATGCGCATAGATTTTTATGTGTATAATATCATAAATATATCAATAGAAGATGAATATTTAATAAGAATGAATTTTTAAGAATAAATTGACCTCCAAATCAAACCACTTTAATTTATACTAAAAAACAAATATTTATCAAATTTACAATTATAGAATACAAATTAAATTATATAATTGCAAATTTATTATACAATTATATAAAATTCCACATTTGATGATTATTAAAAAAAATAAAATCAAGAGATTAAATCACTTTTATCAAAAGGAACATTACTAGTATTATTAAAAACATTATAATTATAACTGCAAAATTATAAGTGTTATGTATAAATGGTTAGAGGCAAGGTTGTTCGACAATATAATAACAGCATACAAATTTAATTGATATTACACCTTTATTGAAGAAAATATTATTAGCAAAATATTATATTAGCTTAATATAGAAAGCGAATAAAATAGCAAATGACTGTGCGAAAAATATCGCAAGGATAAAATTATTCTATTAACGCTGTGGAATATATATATGCATTTAGTCGTCACTTGAACACAATCGCAACCGTCTAACTCGAAATACGTATACATTACATAATATCTCACCTATAATTCCAACTTACTTCCTGGCTGTAGTGACGAGTAATTAATACCGCATGATTTACCTATATCGATCATTTATGCATATTTTATGCAACTCGCATTCTTTGCCAAAAAGGGTTGTTACGTAAATGATCTATAAGTACGAACTCTAAATCGAATTGTCAAGCTAACGATAACACGAATAAATTAAGTGAACGATTATGTAAGAACGACAAGCTCTACAGAACATACGCAACAGCAGTTGTTACATTTTAATAGCGAGTCACGGCGGCATGAACCGTTCGAAACCAATCGCCGAGACGATCCCGAATGATGTAACGTCTAACAGCGTTGTAAAGCTTCGTCATAGCAGTGCTGTTGTCCGCATTCGTGTTTTTTTAAAGCTACAAGAAAATAATTAACACGATGCGTCTGTACATATATATATGTTTATACATATATATATGCATGTTTTTGTACAATTTTCTACAATTACGGCTAATTACACTACATCGAAATCATCAATCAAACCTGCGAAGAATGAGTCACGGCCGCAATTATCAAATCAATGCCTATTAATTTCCGCTCTTAAAAAGTCTTATATGCAATCGAATGCGAATCTCTATTTTGATCAACGTAATAGAATGCACATCTAATTCTGTAATCTTTTTTTTTTTAATCAATCTTGAACTGTGATGCAAATAACGATCATGACTCATTCTTGCTGACATACAGGGCAATGCTAATACATTTATACACACACATATATATATATATATATATATATATATATGTATCAGCAAGTGTTTTCGGTACCGATATATCGTTTTGATCGGTTGTACGCACGGCGTCCGAAATGCCTAGCCATATGAATTTGCAGGGGCACAATACATACATATATTTTGAATATACATATATGTATACATATATATGAACCAGTATCCCTGCAAGTTTAGATGGCTAGGCATTTCTATAACGCCGTGTGTACATAGTAATAGACATTTGTGGAGGAAACCGAATAACGCGAACCAGTCTGAAACTCGTTGCAGAAATATCTTTAATGTCCATTTCTACCAATGTAAATTAACTTTCTTGGTTTAACTTAATGTTTGCCTTTTTCTAGTTCTAAAAATTAGAAGAAGATAAAGAATAAATTAAACCGAGATTAAATTAATCTACATTGGTAGAAATGGGTCTAAGAATATTCAAAAATAAGACTCTAAACGATTTTTTCTCGCCAACATTTAAAACTTACCATTTCTTCCTTTTTAGATTATGGGCATCATAATATCATATGCGCGGTTACAGATAATGGCATATAACTCTGTAAACTATCAGCTCTAAAAATGGACACGGCGCTAAAAAATAATTCGAATATTTTTACCGTTTGATGTCTAATTTTTCAGACATTATAGACCATTATCGCGTTATCCGGAAACATTCCAACGTTAGTTTGCCTTGATGGCCGGTAAGTAGGTTCGTCGAATTGGCACATTTCGCTCGCCCACCCATTTATGCGATATTGCCCATTTGGACAGTCTGGGCGCTGTGATGGTCAGGAAACCATCGGAGGACAAGCTGGGCTTCACGCGGCCGACGTCGTAGTCCCTGGGCAACAAGTAACGACGTGTGAACTGTCGCGACACATAACCGGATGAGCGGTATCCGTCCTTCCTCTCAAAATGCCTGGCCTCAACGGTGATGGTCTGGTCGTCGGTGCGGACGGTGATCTCCTCCGGCGAGAAGAACTGCACATCCACAGTTATCCGATACTCGTCCGCGGTGCGTTCGACCCTTGCCCAGCCGCCTATCTCACGTTCTGCATCTTCGAATACGTCCCACCGCGGCCACCAGGACGACCGATAGCGGTACGACGGCCACAGATCGTTGTCGCGCACACTCAGCTTCCGGAAGTGCTCATCTATCTCACGGTGGTAGCGATCTATATCGTCCCACCAGTTGCGAAATAAGCTTCTCGATACCAGTGCCATGATTTTCTACAGGTAAACAGGATCGAACAGATTAATCTGTTTTATTTTTGTCGCATGTAATGGATTATCGCTTTTATTATAGAATTTTAGTTGGCGAGCTTCTAAATAAAACACAAAACGTAATTGTGACGTAATAACTGAATACAAACAAAATTTAAGTGTAATGTAATACGTGACAAATATTTATATAATGATAATAATAAGAATATAAATAATTTTATTATATTTGATAAAATAATTATAATATTATATATGTAAAAATGCAAGCAGATTTGTTGAATTGTTGAAGAAGAGCGTCTAATTAAGTATCTATTTAAAGAAATGTTTATGAGTTTTAGAAAGCAATAACTGCAAATGCAAAATAAAATCTAAATAAAATCTAAACACATGATATAATAGATAATAAGTATAGATTTAATAATAATAACAGGAATATAAATAATTGTATTGTATCTGGTGAATAATTATAACGTATTTGATAAATATGCAATTTGATAAATATATGAAATTAGTGGAAGCTAGACTACATCTCATTTAAAATATACTTCTTTAAATAATTATTTCAGATAAAGAACAGGGCAATACAAATACTTTTGACGTTTTTTAGGATGGAAATATCATCAAAATTATGTAGTTCAAAAAGCAGCGATATTAAGACAAGAGAGAAAGCGCGCTTTCTAAAATTGCTTTCTAGATTTTAAATTTATTGAAATTTTTTTAAATACTTATTTAACTTATTTTTTATCTAACTTATTTTTTAAGAATTCGATTAACTTAAAATCTAGAAAACAATATTGGTTTTTCTTTTACTATCGTCGTCTGCTTTTTGAACTACACAATTTTATGATGCTATTTTCCGATATTACAGTCTGAAAAAGGATAAAGAAAGAAATATTTACGTAGTGCCTTGTCATTCAATTTTGTAATATACAGAATAAATCATCTATCTTTAGAATTAGTTCTATCTTTAGTTTTTATTCACGAATGAAAATCACAAAACGATCGTATGACTTGACACAAAATAATTATATTAATAATACCTTTTATAATGAACATTTAAAAATTACCATTCACAAAACTAATGAATCTTGTAACAATCTCAGTAATAATTGCGATAAAAAAATATTGATCAGATAAATCAGGCTGGCATTTGAAACAAGAAGTTTTTATAGTAAACAAGTAAAATCGTGACGATTTAATATCTCTTACATAAAAATTATCCGAACAAGAAATATGTCATATGTTCAAAACTCTGAAAAAAATTTATAAATTCTTTTTCTATGACTTAATCATTTTTTTACGTAAAAACCTTACCATTATTTATTTGTCATAATTTCAAACGTAAATGCAGCAAAAGATGCGCGATAATTCAATTAATTTAATTAATTGAATTAATTAGAAAAAAATAATTAGTGTTAGTATAATTGTTGAACAATCTACAATGATCTGTGCGTGGTGAATTCAAATAGGAGACGAATCACAACGTACCTTGTCGACTTCTCGTTTCGTTCGTCAACACTCGATGTCACGTCGAATGCTCGATTCGCAAAATTACTCGTTGAACTGCGCAATAAGGGTTCTTCGCCGCGAAGCTCACCTCCTCCGAGCGCGAATTCCACTAACTGCGCAACCATTACCGCCGCGCCGATTTATATTCAGTTTGCCGCTCTTTTCGAGATCGTTTGATCGCGCAACGCGTACGCATGCGCGTGATTACATCAGGATATCTCGCGCGACTTATCGTTTCTTCTAATATCGCTTATATTTTAAAGCCCAATAATCTGTATCTTTTTCGAAAGATCTGGAAGGAGCATTTTGCGGAATCGAAATTGTTCTCATAAAATTAGAATATAATTTATGAGAAACAAGAGTTTTTTTCGTTATCCTTTCGAGTAAATCTAGGATCCCAATCTTTTTTGAACATCATGCATAAGTGTGTTTAGATTATAACACAATATAATTTATTATTAATTATACATTTATTATTATTAAATTGAAAAAATTAAATGATTACTTTTTAATCATTTAATTTTAATAATTTTTCTCATATTTAGAAATTTGTATTTTATATACCAGCTTAGGATAAATTTTTTAAATTAAATCTTATTATGAAAAAGTTCTATTTAACTTGAATATGGGAAAATATTTTCAAAGAGAGGAAAAAGAGAATAAAAATTACATCGATTCCAAAAATAAACTCTTTATTTCATTCATTATATCATTTTCTTTAGATAAAATTGTATAAAACATTTTATTTTGCTAAGCATAACTAAATTAAATGCAGGCAAGTATGCATGTATAAAACAAAAAAATATTTTTTCTTTAATATTCAAATCCCTATTTATTCTATTATTCGCTTCGTATAGTTATAATCTTTTCTTTCTACATCAGGTACATATTTATTATATTATATATATCGATAGATTTCAAAATTAGATAATTATAAACATCTAGTACATTCTATTTGCAAAGACATCTATATTTTGATATTTCTCATAGCTGTCACGATAATTATGCCGCGTATCTATTTCGAGTGAGGCGTTAGTCACCAAGATGTTTTATCTGCTTTTATCGGTAGATGGAAAATAGCCAAGTAGAAAAGCATATAGAACCTTGTACGTAAAGTCAACGCGTATATTATAATACTATTGTACGTAGTAATAGCATATAATATGATACTTCGACATTTTGTTAAACATTTTATGATAATCATAAAACGTTTGATTAGATAATCGCGCTTTACTTATTCTCCTGATTTTATTCAAATGGCACATTGAAAATTTACATTATTTTTTTATGTACAAATTACTCTTACGATGATCATGACTTTTCTGTAATTGGCAACACCTTATAAGGATTTAAAATCCAGTTCGGATCCATCATTTTCTTAAGATCGTACATCATCTCGATCTCGGAAGAGCTTCTGCTCAGGTGGAGATACTTGGTTTTTTTAAAACCGATACCATGCTCCGCACTGATGCTACCCTGGCACTGTGAAACGTATTCGAAGATGAATGGCTCTATTTGTGCTGCTATATCCTCGTAATATTCCGGAATAGAGACTTGTATGTGGATGTTTCCGTCGCCTGAAGATAAAAACAGGAAATTATTTACGAATATTAAATTTATTCCTAGACATTTGAATCATCCTTATTTGTGTTATTATTACCTAAATGGCCGTAACCGCCGATCCTAACAATACGCGGATCGCGTATTCGCTTGCGAAGCACCTCGACTACCTCATAAAAGGAAGACAGCGGTAGCGAAAGATCATACTTAAATACGTATCCATCACGCAAGACACCTCCGCTAATTCTTTCTCTTAGTGCCCATATATTCTGCAAATTATATTTTTATTACTAGAATGTAAATTGAAAAACATTTTTAAAATATAGATTATCCATTCAAAAAGATCCATATATATATATATATATAGACTGTGCCTTCTTATAGAAGCTTGCGTGACACAACTGAAGGATAGCTATATTCCTTTGTCTCGTTTCCTTCTATTCCTTCCTCATGCATCATACAGAAAAGAAGAGAAAGTTTAAGAATAGGAGGAACAAAGATAAATTGCCTGCTTAAACATGCTTTATCTCTCTCTCTCTCTCTCTCTCTCTTTCTCTCTCTAGTCACAGTGTGCAATCTTTTATAGAAGCGCCCAGTCTATGTATATACATAATCTGTCCCAAAAGTAATGAAATTATTTTTGGGGGTTTGATCAGAATTGTCGCGGAGTGAATCCATTGAACAGGACTTTTAGTGCGGAATGTCAGGTATACAATGTGATCCTTCTTAGTTGCCTCTGAGCCTTTTTTGCATTCAATACCGTTAGCAAAGTACGTTGTAATTTTTGTATGTTGTCATGGCCGAAAATTCAATTACAGTACAGACTGTGCTGTATTTCGAGTAGCGTTACGCGATCAAATTCTGAAGACAAAGCAGCATTCTCATAAGCTATTCTCAACATCTCCAATATGTTTCGGAATTAGATTTTTTCAGTTTTACATAGAATTTGATCACTATTCGAGAATAGCTAAATTTTCGACCGTGACAAGACACAAAAATAATGCACTTTACTGACGGTATCGACTGCTAGAAAGACTCGGTAGCAACTGAGAAGGGTCAGACTGTATACCTAATGTCCGCACCAAAGGCCCCGTATATATGCATCCACCTTCTGACAATTCTTCTGATTGGGACACCAAAAATAGTTTCATTACTTTGGGACAGTCAAATTCTATTTAATTTACATTCTCTTGTGCGCGTGGAAGTCAAATGTCATGAATCGCGATCAACTCTCCGAGAATCCTTATTAGACCGTAACAATATAAATATGATTGATATAATATAACGTAATTTTTCAATCACGTACATTAACTTTTGTTGTTTCGTTGGTCAAAGTGCCATCTTCGATAATGTCATCGTTAATCGCTTTTTCAACAAACGAGGATAGTTTCTCTTCGTCATGGGCCGAATGACTACCGGAAGTTTCAATAAGCATGTAAAACTCGTGACCATCCTCGCGGCTTGTCAATGGATTCTTCAACCCCAGGGTATTGACGGAAACGTCCATAGAGATTCGATCTATCATTTCACAGGAGGACAGTATTTCGCCTAAATGGCGTTTCGCTAAATGATATGTTTTCAGCACCTTATCGAAACTTGCTAATCCTACAAAAGTTATATAATTAATAAATATAGAATGCCTAAAGATTAAATTTTTATATTTTAAGCTAGCAAAGTTTTGTAACAAAGTGTGTATGTGCAGTCTATATGTGTGTGTTGAAGTTTAACTTTATATGTTAAATCTAATAATATATACAAACATATTTTTGTATTTTATTTATAATAATGTGTGTACCTAGAAATGCAAGATTCACAGCCTTCGGCAATGGTGGACATTGAATAGATACTTTGGATACAATTCCTAAAGAGCCTTCAGATCCTATAAAGAGATGTTTTAAATGATATCCGGTGTTGTTTTTCTTTAGCGCATTCAGGCAGTTCACGATGTCGCCGTTTGCCTTTACCTAAATAAAGACAATTATTTAATATTATTTTCAGTCATATTAAGCTATAAAAGAAAAGATTTTAATCTCCGCACATCAAAATTTAAATTTTCTAAATTTAAAAAATTCTAATTGTTTTTTTCTAATTTTGAATAATAATTCCAGAATTAATATTATAAAAATAAATAATTAAGAAAAGAAGTAAAAAATAATTTATTATATTTTAATTGATAAAAATTGAGCATATATGCAATATTTACAACAATGTTATAAAAATTTCAGTAAAATATAATTTATACTTTTAACATTGTCACATTTAAGTTATTTAACATATAAGTACACACACATGCACGTGCGCGAGCGCGTATTTATTATAGAATATAAATTTCATATAATAATAATAATTTTATAAAATAATAAAATTATTTTAAAATATATAATAATTTTAAATATATAATAATTTTAAATATATAATTATTTAAAAATATATAATAATTTTAACAATTTAATACTTAGACTTACTGCTTCGACTCCTAAGACGGTTCCGTGCAGATTGCCATAACGTAAAAGCCGCAATCCACCTGCGTTAGTTGATACACAACCGCCAATCAGACAACTCCCCTTGGCTCCAAGATCCAAGGGCATCATTAAGCCAACTCTAGCTAAATGGTTGTCTAGGTCCTGTAAAACGCATCCAGCCTCGCATGTCAGTATACCTAACACAGTGTTTTGTGTTTTTAAATATAATGGTAGTACTACAGAGAAGCAAATAATTACGTTACTTTTGTAATATCTTTTTTACTATTTCAAGGATTCTGCCGCAATATTATTCGCGTGTTATTCTCTAAAACATATATTTTCAAAAAAGATATTACCACTAAAAAAAGGGAAAAAATGTCTAAATTTAATTCAAGGAGCCTATTATGGATACAATTTACTTAAAAAATTCTTCAAAGCATTTGATTGATCAATCAAAGAATTTTTCAAAGCATTTATAGCATCAAGTGTGTCGTTGCCTAGATTAAATTACACACACGCGTGCCATTGGTATAGATTAAATTACACACACGTATACACATAAATTAAATTTTTTAAATCTTTCCAATTTAAATATTTAAATGAAAATTTGAATAGTAACAGAATTTAGCAGATGCAATTGCAATGTAAATAAAGGTTATCGCTCAGCTTTTTTAGTAGAATTTTCGAAAATCTTCAGATAGATTTTCGAGTTAATTGCACTTATCGCCTACCTGCCAATTCATTGGTGTCCAAAATTTTATTCATTAACTTCATGGAGATGACGATTTCGTCAAATACCGGGTTGGAACCGCCCACCAGTCCGGTGTTACCGCTTTGTGGGCAAACTGCTAAACGCTTTTCGTTACAATATTTTAATATGGATGAAACCTGTTCAGTGGATTTCGGTTTCAGTATTAGCCGACTGGCACCTGCAATTACATTATTTAAAAACGTAAAAAAATAATGTCGGACTTTTATTTTAAAAATTGATAATGCATTTCTTCTATTTGAACTGTATTGCACAAATACAACGAGCGCGTCATACTGTATTCCATTTTTTACATATTTCATAGTTTGGAAAAGATATTTTACACATATGCCAAAAATAGTAGTGTAGAAAATTTGACTTATTTTGAATGAAATTAATGTGAATTCCTTAAATTGTAATTTTATATATTTATTTGTTTCCACAAACTTCCTCTCATTATTTAAAAAATATAAAACTATTCAATAATAAAGTATATATTATTATTGAAAATCGTATATAAAATTTTAATATATTAATTACATTTGTAAATAAAAAATATGCGAATTCTCTAATTATGTCCTAATGAAATCATAATTAAATATACATGTCGGTTTTATTTATACATAATGACTTATAATTATATATTTATTATTTTATCATCACAATTCCCTTGAGATAAAAAATTACCTTTTCTTCGTATATTTTCCAAAAAAAAAAAAAAATAAAGATTTTTCCCTATTGTACATCCCCTCACTTCTTACCCCTGACAGTCTTTGCAAAGTCGATGTTGTAGCCTTCGCATTCATCCGGATCTGTGATGAGACCGTTAGATCCGAGCAACGAGTCGAAGAAGCGAACATCTGCGTCCGTGACCGTAGCGTAGGGTCCGCGTCGTATTTTGTACCTGATCGATGTTAATTCAGGTTTCGCAGCACTGATCGAATAGTAACGACTTGCGATTTTCCCCGAACATCTTTCAGCAACTTTGTTGCACTGCCGAAGCAGAACGGACATCAATGCGCTTCGCATCCTGATTATTTCCCACGATAAATTAGTCCTGAAAAAAGAAAAAATACATGTATTAAATATTTATAGTTTCAATAAAACATAATTCTCAATTAAAATTTTTCTAGGAGAAACTCGACAGAAAATAATGTAGAATGCAAGAAAAAAATTTTATTATATCAAAGAAATATTTCCTACTTCGCATGACTGATTGAGAGAAAAGAAATAAGAAATTTGCTCAAAAGTTAAAGCTGCTAAAGACTAATGTTTATTTTAATTAATACGTACTTTTATTATTGTACTCATGTAATGTCGCATATAAGATTCATAACATTATTCTTGTCGTGAATATACAAAGTCTGTCAAAAAGAGAAGAGCATATCCGATCTAACTTTAAAACTATTTATTATAAAATGATGAAAAGTATAGTTATTATAGTTATTCGATTAAAGCAATTGTTAGTCGTATTTGTATTAGTCGCAACTATTATCGATCATCATTTACAATTTTTGATTCATATTTTATATTAAGATCGCTGAGTAATTTAAAGACAAAAATCGCCAAACTTATTATAAATTGACACAATTGCCAAGTATACGAAATTTCTTTTAAAAATAATTTTCAAAACGACTAAAATAATTAGGAATTGACATCAGAGAATTATGAAGGACAATCAAATAAATTAAAATCTTTGACAAACTTTTTTGTTCAACGTGTGCAATAAATTAAATATTTTACACGCACACACACCGCGCGCGCGTGTGTACGCACACGCACGCACGCACGATTCATATTTTTTAATAATTTAAATAAAATGTGACATGTTTAATGAATTAAATAAAAATAACAATTTTGCAGTTAATCAATAAAAATATGTAAAATATTTAATTCATTATTTTCTGTTTATGTTAGCAATTAAAAGGATAATATAGGATAATATATAAGGATAATATATTTTATAAGAATAAAATAAATTAGATTCACAATAAAAAAGTTTATTTAGACAAATAAAATTATTAATTTTATTAACATGGCGTTAACAAATAAATAAATGAATAAATAAATTTTATTTTATTAATTATATTAATTATTATTAATTCATACGTTATTAATTTTGTTAATAAAATATATATTAATTATTATTAATAATAAGATAAACCTATTAATAATAAATTTCAAAATTATTTAATTTTTATTAATAATTAAATAATAATTAATTTAGTTTGGCAATATTGTGCAAAAAAGACAACATATGTAAAAAAAGAAAATTGCATAATTTTGTGATTGCATCATAATTTATCGACGCAATAAATCATAATTTCTTAATTGAAACTACCGCCATCTTCAGATCATTTGTCAACTTCGTCGAATTTCTGCGCGCGTTTATTATCGACACAGTAATACTTTCGTATTATACAAGAATAAGAACTCAACTTTCCAAGATCGAATAAGAAAATAAAAATGGATCATTTGTTCTATAATCTGTCTATTTTTAATAATTAAATTTTACACTTTTTATTTACGTTGTTTTTTCTCAACGTCTAATTATATCCCTATTTCATCTTAAGAAAGTGCAGAAACATTAACTGCAATTAAAGAACGGGCCTACGATCTTGTAAATCGATTTACCAATAATTAAAACATTGTCTCCCGCCATAACATATGATTTGAACCATCATAAATCAATAACACTTGATTGAATAAAATTAAGATATACATCATGTTTAGTATACCACAATTAAAAAATCATTGTAATTTTTGGTCTTTCTAGGTATAATATACTGCTTTAATTATTTTATTATATATTTATGTTATTATATACATTTTTTCAAGATATTAATAGTAATCCACATCATCAGCTCTTACAAAAAATGCATAATACATTTTTTGTAAGAAATGTGAATTACAATTAATATCTCAAACAAAATATATACATATAATAAAATAATATATAATAATATAATTATATTTATATTATATATATATATATATATATATATATATATAATTCTAATTGTACTTTATTTTATATTGAAATCTTGATTCGGCACAATATTTATATAGGTATATTATATAGGTATATTATTATATAGGTATATTGGTATAGGTATATTAACATCTATTAATATCTATTAATATGTCTACACAATATATTAGATCACATATTTAATGTATTTGAAGTACTTCTCGAGCTTCAATTTTGAAAGCAAACTCGTTACTTCGTGAAGTATACAGGGTGATTTAAGAATATAAACAAAAAACATCTACTCATTATAAAGTTATAGAGATAAAAACTCTGATAGAGTGTTAAAAACAGATCATCTCACAATTTTTCTTTTTGATTTTCCACAAAACTCAATAGATCCATCTTCTGTATCAGAGATATAGAATCTTTATGTCTTAAAATATTACGTGTATAAAGAAAAAAAGATCAGGCTTAAGAAAGCGTCCGTAATAACTTTTATCTCTCTCAAGGTACGATAACCAGATATAGTTTTATTTGTTCCCCAGTAAATATGTATCCTAAATGTACATTCAAAATGTATCTTTTCGATTCTATCAAGAGTTACGATATTAAGATACGATGCTCTTACCTATTCCCTGGTGAACATCCTAAATGGATATATTCAAATTCTTTTCTATTCTCCATTTTCAATCGTTCCGATAAGCCTATCGTCATGGCAGCTCATTGCATGTGATAGATACAATGTACAAATGTGTACGAAGTGTACGAAAGAGAGTTTGCAAAACGACGTCTGTCGTAACAATGTCAAGCGTTAATGCCGCTATCCATCCCGGCGTTACAGTGATTAAGGCGTGGCTATCTTGGCGTGCCTATTTATAGCCGGACTTACATGCGGCGGTGCGCCTTTCACGCGCGCGATCGTACAGAAAGTGCGATTCGTCGCGTCTGTAATTGATACAAAAACCGGCGCGCGTATATGTCCCGCGATCGGCGTAATGGCGCGTCAAAGAGGCGGTCGCCGATTTTTACGATAAAAATCAAATTTATCATTTGGGAGGAAAACCGCACCGTCCAATGTGATCCAATCTGCAGACACTTCTTCGTTAGACACACACATCTCTCACACCGTCTTCTGCATCTACGGTTGTCGCAGAATCGCAAGCTTCAGTTTAATGACGAACCTTCCTGTATGTAATTTCTTTCAGGTAGATCCCCCAGTAACTTCAGAGAATTCTGGATATCTTTCCTGAACATCTAACGTTAATCTGTAGTGGAGTTTTAAAAAATCTGAGAATGTAAAGTCGCTTAAACTTAAGAGAACAATAAATTCGAGATTGAAACAAATTATTTTTAATTACGTCAATTATTTGATTGATTTAAAAAATTTTTAATATTTATAACGTCAAAATGCGATTGTTGGATTTCTTTCATCGAAATGTCGTTGTGAAGATATTTAAAAGTAAGATTTTCTTTTTTCTCTATCCACTGCAGATATCAACATACTGCATGCCGATATCGAAGTTCAACAAAATATATGACTTTATAATTTTTTTTAATCTATAATTTAATTTATTATTATTCTAATCTATTCTCTTTATTATTAACATTCTTGACATAATCTATACTGTTTACAGCTCACTTCGAAACTAACAAAGTATGAAGAGATAAAGAGTAGTATGTTTCTCCGAATCTTCGATAAAGTTTCTCAGATACGTGTCTCTATACGAATTCGCCAAATGAAGTTCGTCAATGAATATTAAACATGAAAGGAAGCGATCGACCTACCTCCTGCACAAGATAACCTAAATTCCTAATCTATTATTGTCACTGATGAGACAATAATCCTATCATTTCCTCTTCGTCTCGTAACACGATACTATTTTTATCACAACCGTTACACGATTATTCAAACCGTGGTAAATTTAACGCGCCTTTTATCCGCGACGATTGCATACGAGGTCAATGTCGTGACATTTCGCAAATTAGGATGTGAAATTCGAGATGGTCCTGTTTGAACCGTGACACAGAATCAAATGACAAAAGAAGCTGCAGCTGATCTTCTTAAAATTATTCCGCTAAAAGTGCGTCTTTAGAGATGAACTTTGTGACGTACGTATCAGAATTAGTATCGTTTCACTCCATCATATCGTGGGTATGTAATTCTACTTGTCCATACGAACGATACGAGGCTTTCCTGTTCCCATTCGCTGTCGATAAATTGCAGATAATCGAGTAAAAAGATGCGCGACAAAGGCGCACAAATAAAATGTGCGCGAAGAAAATCGGGATAAGAGGGCTAATAACGAGACGCGCTTTGTGCATCGTGACATTTCTGTCGTTTCCACCCGCTCGCTCACTCGTAACCAGAAGTATCGTTAATTTCCACGTTTTAATTGTATTTGTGCAATTATATAGTAGTATACCGTTCGAGTGCTCTTCGCGAGCATCCCTTTGCAACGTTGTTCGATATGTAAATCATACCCTTTTCACGGTGCACTCATTCGGGTTGCTCTATACCTATATATCGCGATTTGACGCGAATATAAATGAACGCGCCACGCACATGTTCCTGCCGCATCGCGATTTTTCGATTGATATACGAATACATTTCCCGGATGTTCCGTAATTGCGTCCATAATTAATCGGTCTCGCGACAAAACGTCCTAGGCGACGCGGTAACTCGCGGATCCGTCCGTCTGTTCAGACCGTTCGATCTCGATTATCACGTCCGCGAAAAACCGTGAGGGGGAATTATTAAGAACTTAATTTTAGCGCGGTCGACAGGTGGAAAATAGAAGCGATGGGAATCGATGAAGCGTAATCCAGCCGCTGAAATCTCAAGTGTCCAATCGATAAAACCCGTCGCGTCGTCAGCTAAGCGACATCGGGGCTTAACTTGTCTTCATTTTTCAAATTCTGGGAGCACAATGGGAAAGGGTACCGCCCAAAGAATGCCGCTCGTAGCGATTCGTTGTAGACGCACCGCGGGGACTCGTTAAAGTTCCATTATAGGCCCTTTGAAAGAAATAGTGGCAACAATGGAGACAAACAGATCTCTGCGGCAGAGAATTAAAGAAGTATTCATATTTCGACAATCACGAACGCTAAGTGTCAATCAAATATTCGATTTTTTTCGTTAGAAAAACATATAAAAATTCGTTAATATCTATAAATGAGTATAACATTAGCCCACTCTTATGTCTTTTGTATTTCCCAAACGCGGTGACAAAGATTTATGAACAGGTTATATTGACTTTAAAAGTAAAAGTCAATAAATAAATATAATTTTTAATAGTAAAGGCTCAATAATTAAAATAATAAATTAATACATATAAAGGGCTAAAGTCAAAGCTTAGATTTTTTCGCTTCGATATTTAACAAACAAACATTCAATTATTAATAAAAGTAAAAACAGACACGTTTCGACTCCGATCGGGTCATTATCAATTTTACAAAATAGTAATCAGATTAAAATGTATTAATCCAATTACCATTTTGTTACATTGATAATGGCCCGATTGGGGCCGAAACATCTGTTTACTTTTATTGAATGTCTATTTGTTAAACATTGGAGCAAAAAAACATCTAAGCTTTGGCTCAATAAATAAATATAATACCGATAATTAATCTTTAAATCTCCAAATAATGATCTATCTGAAATAAAGGAAATTCTAAATATTCTTCAAATTGGACAAATACATTTATATTGTAAAAAAAATATGTAAAATTGCACGAACAACAAATGTAAAAATTACATGGTTTATAATAAAATCTAAACATTATAAGTGTGACTTTTATATGCTATCACATAATTGCACGATTTATATCACAACTTTTAATTAAAAGTAACTTTTTATAATGCAAAATATGAAAATCGATACCATAACTTTTCAGAGATTATATATTTGAATGTATGCACACAATAGTGATTCTTGTTAGACTGATCGTTCTACAATATACCATATGTCGAGTCGTAAGCCGTAAAATTGAACCAATCACAGTTTATTGTCTAGAGGAGAATATACTTGATTGTGGTAGGTAATTTTTCATGACTAACGGTTAGCAGATATACGATATCTTGTATATATCTATAGAACGGGTTTTATGCTCATTCACGAATAAACGAAAAGCAACATCCGACAGGTTCCTTTTCGCATGTCTATATAGCGTCGCAAGTTGAACTCGCTGCAGAGATAATACCGGTATGGGATATTGTAATATAAGATTGTACCGGATTCAATAAAAAAAAATTATATAAAATAATAAATTCATATTTATCATACAGCAAATGTTAGAATTAAGAAAGGATTATATATTTCTTTTGGCATTCAATCTATACTTAGCAAACACCAAGTATAATTGCTATGTAACATATATGTAACACCTGTATATTTCCATATGTTATATGGCAATTATATAATACATATATCTATGTTACTGGATAATGTCAAATTAATAGCTCATTACTCTAGATTGAAAATTAAGAGGCCATGTAAGATCTATACTATTAATTTTCAATTTGTTTTGAATTTGGCCAATTCAATATAACAGAAAACGTATAATAATGCGTCCCCTCGACGCAATTACTATATACTAAATTAAGAATTAATTACGATATTAATCTATACAATACATGTGATACGTAGATAATGAGAATAATGAGAGGAAATCTTATTCGGAATGAAGATTATATTGCAAATCGAATATCGCGATACTCAGCGACGAAGAGGATGGCCCGGTGCCCTCGAGCGTCGTTGCCCCAATGGATCCGTCATGGCACTCGTGCGGCAATTACGCTTCGCTCCCCCCCGTCGCTACGGTCGCTTCCATTTTCTCGGCGTTAATTCGAGGACCGATCGGACGCAGACATCGGATATATTATAATCTACAGCGAATCTTTCGATGGGGTGCCCTCCTACTCCTGCCCCTTCCCCGTCGTGTATCACCGAACGATACGCGGCGGTATATTACCCAGCAGGAGACTGTGTGGGGAAAAAAGAGGTCAGGGGTGGAGAGGGAAGGGACGGGTGTGGGAAGGAGGAGATGGCAGTGAAATGAGCCCGCGGTAGAGAGGGAAGCGCGATGGACATCGAAGAGAAGAAAGAGCGGCACGGGGTGGGAAGGGAGAAAATACCACGGGAGAGAGATTGAGAGTAGTGGGAAGGGAACCAATCGTCGCGACGACTTAAGCGCTGTACGCGCGCGCGCGCGACGTCCTACACGCAATACATATAGTGTGTGCATGTACGGTGTGTACGTGTATATACAGGTCGAATCAGGATAAGCGCACGAACACGAAACCTCCTACGATGGCTATACATGTACGTGTACACGTACACACACGTGTATACACGCACACAGATTGTGCGACCAATTCACGGACATCGACCATGGCTATATCGAGAACTGAGACGAATCGAGACGGAATGGGATGGGACGGCATACGACGCGAACGAGCGCGAGCAGGAGAAAGAGAGAGCGAGAAAGAGAGAGCAGTTCTCCCCCCTTGTGCGCGGGGGCAGCGTGGCACATGCGCGGCCACGGGACAACGTTACACGCGCCGACGGTACCCAGGCCAGGCCAATTCCTCGGTGGCAGACCGAATCATTAACTTGTTTCCCTGGCAACCCCGTTCGACCCACACCATTGGCTGCGCCACTTCTCCCACCCGCGCGCCATCACGCTCTACGGTCAAACGGCAAACTACAGATGCCGAGATATGCTCCATCGTTCGCAAAACATAGCATAGACGTGGACTATAGGTATAATCTCCCCTTCCCCTTCCTTGCCGCCAATCTCCTCCGACTCGACCCTCGTCGAGTGTCATATACACCACATACAGGTATATGCGAGCGCGCGCGCGCGTCCGTTCACGCAGGGACTTGGTTACTGGGATTGGTACAGCCGGGACTCTTCCTACCCTACGCGCGATACGTCCTACCGTCGTACCTCGCGTCGAAATCCGAGACCGGTATTGGGAGATGAACGATAAAATCCGTTGTATTTCACGTCAGCGTGATTCCACTCTTTCGTTTGGATTCTCGCTATAGGAAACGCTACCGAGATGCAATCATTGTCGGCGCGTGAGATCTGACTGCACCGTAGCCGAATGATTTTTAATTAATAATTCTCTCAATTAATTGAGAGTACAGAATTTGATTGCGTTTGACAGTGATCGCCAAAACGCACAAAAACAAAACGTTTTTGCGAATAAAATGGCAATAAACTTGTTATTTCGTCAAACGCGAAATTGCAGAGATACACATGGGAGAGTTTTAAGGGTCGAAGTTTCGACCGCCGAAACAACAAGAACTCCACGTCCTTGATCTACGTGAGGATGAATCCCCATGCCTTGGGCGGAGCGGGATGCATTATGCATGGAGACCTCGACATCAAAATTAGAGCTTTCCTCGACAGTCGACACTGCGTCGTGCATCGGCGTCAAGGACGCGAGACGTCTATGTTTTTGTTTTTGAAGTTTTGCTCAAGTACGCTCGCGTTACGTTAAAAAAAAAAACAGTAACAGACAATTCGAATGTACTGATTGGATAGAAAATTTGTGCAAGAATGTGCGACGAGCCAATTGCGTGCGACTCGCGAGTGTCGAGTTTCGAGCCGGGAAGCATAAACTCAGCTTAGAGACAGTTGCGTCAAGGCCGTACCGTGTCCGCACGGGGCCACAGATACTAAACGTTACGCGACCCTCGCTACTTTATTATAAATGTTATTAACGTATACTATGTACATGTTACTTTGCTACAGCAGACTACTTTGGATTAACAGCGTTAAAATTATTACTATAACGTATATGTATATGTATATACGTTTATATATTTCGGCGACTTAGACAAGGATTAAATATAAAAAATATATACTTTTAAAATAAAATATTGCAAACTGAATAAAAAGAACTGTTATAGCATAACATGAAATCACGCATGCATTAAATCAATGATTAAACCAATGTTTTATAAATTTATTTGGTAATTTGGTATTTTGAATAAAATTTTATAAGAGAGAAAAAAGGAAAGAAAGAACATACGTTAGGATGAACAATGCTATTTCATTTTATTTGCAACAAAAACACATATACATATACACACTTTTTTCTCTCTTTCTCTTATACGTATATATTTCGTTGCAAAGGGGGAGAGAAATAGTCATTCAGTTCAAACGATATAACTCATAGAACTAGTATAGTAGAAGCATTAAGCCATTATACAATAGCATATACAAAAACGTAAAGCAGTAAGACGTATAAATTGGCCAATCACAGTAGAGAACGTAAGATTATTGCCTTACATTTTCTACTATCGATTGGCCGATTTGTTTACTGCTTTACGTTTTTTTTATGTGCCATGGGCTTTAACAAATGACCTTGATGTCAAATTTGAAATCTCTCTGGACATTTTGCACAAGTTCTTTCGATTCACAATCAGTGAACTCGTAATAAGAAATTTTCCTAAGAACCTAATTCAGAGAGCCAAATTTTATCGTTTATTCTTATAATTTAAAATATATAATGTATAAGTGCACAATGATAATATGTAAATTATATATAAATATGTGCATTTTTAAGTACTTTACTATCATATAATAATATTTTGATATCAATTAAATATTCTAATTATAACTATTTTTTCGTTTACGTAAATATGTATGTATAATAATATTTAGTTAAATTAATAATATCATACGATGTCTCGTATGATAAGTAATATTACAAGCACTAAAGATAATTCTTCACATGGAGCAAAAAGTTCATTATAGAAATCCGGTTCGTGCGGTCGTTGTTACGTAAAGTTTCTAGTGTTGATTACTATTGGTAATTGATCGTAAGCTGTTTAATATGAATAATATGATTATCTATATATAAATTTCTTGTTATGTTCTCATTTCTCATTGCAATAACAGACGAAAATAAAATAACAATCTTTTATAATCTATTTTTTTGATAAAAGAAATTTGTTTAATAATAAATTAATAACAGGTTTTAATTTTTTCTTTATATCGATTATATTTTCATAAATTCTCAAACCTAATGTAATAAAATGCATCTACAATAAATGTATTTAATGTAAACATATAAATTATAAGGTATTGAAATAATGTACAAGAATAACAAATTTGAAATAACATCTTAAATTATAAAGGTAATATTCAATTGCAATTTTCAACTATAACGTATTTTTAATCGGTGCACAATATCAATTAAACAGCAATATAACCGAATAATGTAACAAATTACTCATTATTGTTAATAATGTGCTATTAGCTTTCGTGAGTATCGCAATTCCCAATTAAATATAAAAATAAAAGATTAATAATAAGATTTTCTGGAAAGAAGAAAAGAGGAAGAAATTCTTTAAAAAAATACATGTAAAACGGAATACCAGGGCACTCGGAACACTCTGCACGTTTCTGCCAATGCTATGCTGTGAAATACGGCGTGGACTATAGATCTGTATACGTGCAGGAACAAATGGTTCGCGTGCCTGTGTGTGTACGTGCACACGATAGGACGACTTGGGCGCGATAGGTAGCGGTGAGGAAGGAGAGAAGGAGAGAGATGAAACGAAAGAGAGAACACAGTACCGTTAGTGAGCATGCGCTTATAGCCATCACATCCGATGGCTCCGCCTTTCTCGGCGCAGACGATGCCTTTGGGATTTGTCCCCGTCGAGCCAATCAGGAGGCACGCTGGACGACGCGCGGCGCACGGCGGGAAGGTTGCGATTGGAAGGGATGGTTGTGTCAGGGACGCGCGGGCATTCGGGGAGGTAGTCGTATTATACCGTGTGGAACAGGGAGGCAGCTAGCAGCAACGGCAGTAGCAGCAGCATCATCGATAGCGGCTACGGCGGCGGATAACTATTATCGCGAGCTCATACTAGCTCTCGTAGCTAAGCCAACGAATTTCGCGGGGTGTTGTCGCTCGGTAAGAAACGGTGATTCGTGAAAAGTGAAAACACTTCGAGCGAGCGAACGACACGCCGTTGGCATCGTGCGCTGCGACGGACAAACGTAGTGGTGGTGGTGCGAGTTGGGTACACATATACACGTGTACGTTCACATACACGCGCAGGCAGCCGAAGCATATATATATAGGTGTGACTGCGCAGTCGCCATGTGAGTACCTGATAAAAGGTAGAGTGAGACATCCGTGTCGAAGACTCCGTCGACTCGTGGTGGCGTCATCGTCGTCGTCGTCGTCGTCGTTGCGTAGGGCGGCCGTCGAGGGTACCCACCCCCTTCGCCATGCCTTCGTAGGCGTTGTATGTGCCACGCGAAAAAAATAAATAAATAATCACTAGACGAACCGTTTGTGAATTCTAGATTATCGCGCTGATGACGACGATCTTCGTTGAACGCGACAACGGTCCGTCGACACGATGCAACTGTTCGATAACACTACGCTTTGTCTCTGTCTCTTCCCTGACTTTCTGTTTGTTTCCCTCTTCTCTCCTTCTCTCTCTCGCACACTCGTCCCGTCGTTTCTCCGAACGGTGTGTGTGTGTGCGCTCCTCATTTTGTTCAATATGTCGGCGTCCGCACGAGACGCCGCCACTTTGGATTCGCGTGGAGGGACGGCCCGCAACGACCGGATACGTACGATGCGTGCGTGTGTGACGGCCAGCGTGCACACGTTTTATTGCGCTTTCAGGCGAGTGTATCGCAGAGGGAAAAAAAAAGAAACGTCTCTTTTTCTCGCGTGCTCTCGAGTGCACCGTGTATTCTTGCTACAAAATTATCCGTTTATACATCGCTTCCAGAGAGCGAGAGAGAAAGGAGATTGCCATTATGGCGAGATCCATGTGTTGTCAGCCGTCCCCCTGGCACAGTTGTTTTTCTCCATCTCTCTCTCTCTCTCTACTTTCCCCCTCCCTTCTGATTTTTCTCTCCCCTCTTCGATCCCCTCTCTGTCACACTAACCCGCCTTTCATTCGTATTTCCCGCTCTCCATCGGATCACACGGTGCTTTCCCCCCCCCCATCCTTGTTTCTCCCTCTCGCTATTTTACCATGCCACTAATTATGGTGGTACATGGGCTGGGGCGACATTTTGTTCGTTCGCGCGCGCACGCACATGCCAAAATGGAATCGTCGGCGTTTTGCGCCGGATCGATATTCCCGGGATGGTTTTTCTCCGCGTGACAGGATATGCAGAACTCTGCGTTACCGCACGAGTTCGGCGTCGGACTGCTTTCTCTCTCTCTCTCGCTTTCCCCTACCTCTCTCCTCCCCTATTCACGCTGTCTTCTTCGAACTCTTCGAAGCACAGCGCGTTTCTATTTTCTCTCTCTCTCTCTCTCTCTTCGTCGAGAAGCATATCGAGCCCCAGCGTTATAAAGGGTGTCCCAGATGTGTGAAATCTACTTTTTACACGAAGGTCGCGTATCGACATTTCATGTACCAGTTTTCACTCCTAGATCTGATACCATTTCATTTCCGCAATGCAGAGAATCCTCGGATTTGTCACGAGCCACTTTTTTTCGTCTATGTTTCATCGAGCGAATTAAGCAATAGGAAATTGATTTTCCCATAATAAAAAGAGAGGAAACAAAAAGTTGTAGCTTTTCAAGTTACATCTTTCGAAAAATATAGCCTTCGCAAATATAGCCTAGGCAAGATTCTTTGTTCAGTTTCATGTGGACTTGATTTTAACGGGCTTTTATCTCCAAGTTTAATTAAAAAGATAATTTAATATTGAAAATCTACGATAAATGGTATAATTCGTCTCGTTTTTCATCGAAGGTAAAAAACACTAAATTGATTAATAGATGAAACGTGACTTAAAAATACATGAAAGATTGATTCTTACAATTAGATAAAACGTTAGCCTGAGACATCCTGTATAAAGGGAATAAAGATAAATTTTTCCTTGTCATAAGAAACGCTCTTAATTGAGCTTATTCTGTAAAAAGAGAATTATTCTCTATATACAATTAACGATATACAATGATTCTTAATTGTAGTTTATTATAGAGATAAAATAGAGACTATAAAAAACTTGCAACATTTTGATTCTGTTGGTATAAGTATTAGGTCTGCCTTAGTATATTTTTTTACAACTCTTGCATTTGTAAAAATAGATGTTTTCTTTTTTAACAAAAAAAAAAGGTTTTAAAAAATAATTTTAATATTAAAATCACAATAACACTGCAACAATTATCAATGATACTGCAAGAGTGAAATTAGACTAATGACAAGATTAGAATGAGATTAAATGGAAAGTTAAAATATACAATCTTAATGTGTTAGAATTGCAATAAAAAATATATACTATTTAAAAACACATATATTATAATATTGGAATAAAATGATAAAAATTCGAATAAAATTCATTTAAATTTAATGTTAGAATATTTGATATTAGAATACATAAATATAACTACATTGTTGCAATAACAATGTAGTTATTATAATAACAAAATGAAATGATAATACCAGATAATTAGTCAGTTGGAATATCAAATTATACAATGCTCAAACTGCAATATTGGAGAAAGTGATGAGATTACAGAATGAAATAAATTGAAAGTGTTCAACTTGTCTTGTAAAAGGCATACTCAGGCTTATCCGTTAAAACAGAGATAATATTTTTATAGTTTTCTGCAGTGCTGTGTATATTCTTCTGGGAAAACAGTTGATAAAATCACTACTTCCGTCGCACGTCTGCATGATGTTTTAAAATGCTTGAGCATTTTGAAACACTCAGCATTATTCTTATCGCATTAGCTAACGCAAGTTTATAAGCAGATAATTATTGCTGGACGAAGCATACGTCCAATATCGCGGAGATACTGCCTCTCCGCATGATTTACGCAAATCAATTTATGTAGCACGACTGCGATATTCGGTTACAGATATGCACATATATACATACACGTTTAAGCCCCGCATAACCTATGCACTCGGTTTTACGTCCCGCGTTGATGGAGCAAAAACCGCCTATTTACGATGAAAAACGACTCGTTCGATCGAGCGACAGAAAAGACCACCAGATGCGACATCAACTCGACAGACTGACCGATATCGAGCGAATCAGTAAAACCCATATGCTTTGACTCGCCGCGCTTAATCCCACGCGCGTTTACTCTTGCGCGGCGAGAATCGGGGAAGCGCCGACGAGACGAGACGAGACGTGAGGACCGCCGATAACTTTTGTGAGGACTTACTTTGCCGAACCGAGAAAGGAGTCTTTCCGTCAATGCGTCACCGCCGAGAGAGAGGAAGAAAAAAAGATGCGACGTAGGGCACACTTCACTCCCGGGCACCACCAGTGCAATAGCTTCGCTTGCGAGTCGAGCTCCCTCGGGTCCCACAAGTACGCGTACTCGTCCGTCAATGAAGGTTATGATACGCGGGCGACATGTATGGCGCGGCGTCGATGGCTACTTCACGTTCACACGCTCGTCTCCCGAGCCCCCGAGCACGAATCGTGAAGTAGACACCCCGACGCGGGTATTTCCATTTGAACATGAAAATAAATAGCGCTGCGCGAAACACAATGCGGAAGCATTGAATACTCCAGTCAATAGCGTAGATACAGTCATACTACTAATTTACTTATGAATAAGCAAGTAGAGAGAATATCTCGCTTTGAGGGACAGAGTAAATTTTAAGAAGCTATGAAAATTAATGTATCTCCGACGATGCGTGTGTCTTGCGCAAATATGCACGCGAAAATGTAGGGAACTGACTGAACTATGAAATATATATACCTATATATATACAATATATATATATATATATTTTTTTTTTTTTTCAAAAATTAATTTTCTATGGTCTGTATTGCAGGTGCGGCATAATGAGAAGATTGAAATTGGCATGAATGTGAACGTTTATTTGTAAAATGGCAAAGAAAAAGAGCTACGTGCAGTTGAATACTGTCTACTCGTTACTCTGAGAGAACGTCTAATTTGATTGCGACGCAAGGGTATAAGGAAACATGACAGATGTCAAGCAGATGGGAATTTCGCCATCGCAACCGCAACAACAATCGCAATCGCAACAGTCGCAGCAACAAGCGCAACAGCAGCAAATAATGATCGCAACTCATGACCTACAGCAGCAGCAGAATGTCCAGCAGTCGCAGCAACAGCATGTACAGCAGTCGCAGCAGCCTCAGCAGGTCCAGCAACAAGCCCAAGTGCAGCAGCAGCAGGTTCAGCCGCAGCAGCAGATGCAGCCGCAAGTTCAGTCGCAACAGCAGCTGCAAGTCCAGCAAGTGCAACAGCAGGTTCAGCAGCAGCAGCAGCAGCAGCAGCAGTCGCAGCAGCAACAGCCACAGCAGCAAAATAACGGACCTCACAGTGTTGTTCCTACTCAGGTTCAAGTGCAGCCGCAGGTAGCTGCCAGCATGCCCCAACAAGTAATTATTAATTTATACTTTTTGAAGTTACTTCATTCTGTTTTATCAATGATTTTACATTAACGTATTAGTTATGTATTTATTATATTATTGAATATCTTTAGCGTACTTTTACATTTCTTATTACATTCTGTTATTGATTCTATTTTATCAATAATTTTACATTAACGTATAGTTATGTATTTATTGCATTATTGAATATCTTCAGTGTACTTTTACATTTCTTATTACATTCTGTTATTGATTCTATTTAATTATGTTTTATAAATTGTCACACGTTACTTCATTCTTTGACTTTACTTTCACATAAATACATCGACCATCTCATTAAAAAAGTTACAGGGAGCTGTTGCAGTGTCGATGCAGCATCATCAGCAGCAACAGGGAGGTGTGTCCATGACGTTATCTGGTCAACAAGGCGCAACTACCATAACTACGATGGCTGCACATCCGCAAGCGGTCCAAGTGATTCAACAACCAATTCAAAGTCAAGCTTATCATTTACAACAATTGTATAATACTCAAGGCACACCTTTATTGATGCCAGGAAATCTTGCGCTCCATCCAGCAGGCATAAATCCCTCTTCTATTCAGGTACAATCAAGTTTTCTTTAATTCAAAATTAATTTATACATATATTTTTTTGTTAGTGAATAACGTTATAAAGTTATTAAAGATTTTACTAAAAATAATTGAACAAAAGATGCGATATGTTAAAAGTTAATACACACTATCTCTCTCTTTAATAATTTTTATAGTTATTACATTTGTGTTTTTAATTTAAAAAACAATGTATATTTCACAGGTGATAACAGCTGGAAAACCGTTTCAGTCTGCAACTCAATTAACTCCTCATATGTTGGCTACGACAACGACACCTGGACAAGGAGGTCATTCAGTTGCCGGTGGCACCAAAGTCCCGGGATTTCCGGCCGGCTATTTACCCGTTCCCACGTCCGCTAATCCTGGTGCTGGCCAGACGCTAGTATTCGGTCAGCTCGGTGTAATAAATTCTCCACCACCATCACTGCAGCAGCAGCAACAACAGCAGCAATCCACGAATAAACAAGATCAAGTACAAAAGGTAAATATAATAAAAAATATTTAGAATATAATGAAAAATGATTGTACAACACGGTACACGTTGTGTTTGCTTATTACTTTTCAAGTATTATCTGCATTTGTATACGATCTATTATTATTTCAAACAGTATACAGCGTGCACCACTGGGACACCTTCAGGCGGAAGAGCTGGTGGTATGCAGTTTGCACCTTGGCAATTTCCTCAAGTATGGGCCACCGGATTGCAACAGCCGACTCTGCTGACTGCCGCGCCTAATCAAATATTCATTCGCGGCCCCGCACAAACTGATATGTTTATACAAAGTCCACAGCCGATACAAGCACACAATGGTCAGTATTTCCATTCATTAATACATTTAAGTATTTTTAAAATAAAAATTTATAATATTTCTTAGTTTATAGTTTTTTTTTATTTCCTCTGTAATACATGAACGAAAAGTTCGTGTATAGTGAAGAACGAGTTTAAAATATCTTGTTTATTATTTTATTGGACTAGCTCTCGCAACACAACAACAGATACAAGGTGTGCAACAAATAACAGCAACTGGTGGAAAACCTACGAAAGTGATGGAAATTCAGCAACAACAGTCTCAGCAGGGTAAATCGAATACGAGTGGGCAGCGGCCGTTGAGTATTTTACCATCGTTGCAAGGCACCAACGTACGAGCCGCCAGTTCCGTCTCCACACAGACAGTTTATGGAGTACAGCCTTCACAGGTTGCACAAACACAGGTTATACATAATAGTATTAATATCAGCATACAATATATGAAATCAATTTTCTATACTTTTCCAAAAAAAAAGGGCATGATATCGATACTCACATCTCTCGAAACGCTTAATTTGTTACTGGTTGATTTGTCTCGTTGCGCTTACTTCAGCCGTAAGCGACTGTGATTTCATAATTTGACAGTTGTGTGTATTGTATGTGAGTTTAATAGCGTAATAACAAAATAACAAAAAGTAAAAGCGCGTAGCAAAGCGCGCGTCTGTAATGTTAGTAATAATAATAGAAAAAAAAACAAGAAAAATAAATCAAGATTATTTGACTATAACAGATGCATAAAAACATTTCATAACTCTTGCATGATGACTATATATGACAATAGACAGATAATTAAACATTTATTAGCATAATAATAAAAACAGTGGTAAAACAATAGATATTGGCATATAATAGTATAGTTATTTATTAAATATTCAGGGTAAGGGTAACAGCAATACCGGGAAAGGCCGTGGCAAGCCAATACAATCTCCGCAACAACAGCAACAGCAGCAGCAACAACAGCAGCAACAGCAAGCCCAACCAACAATGCTACAGCATCAGCCAGTCTTCATACAGAAGCAGCCTACGCAGCAGCAACAGCAGCAGTTGCCACAGCAGTACCAACAAGTGCAATCCTCCCAAATACAGACTAAGCCTATCATGAGTAAGAACGCTTTTTTCAAGTTGATATTTACACGCTACTTATGCTATTAATGTCGAGATAAAGAATTGTTAATATGGAATATTTAAACGACATTGCAGTACGAAAATTTTCGTTTGTAGCGAATATGACGTTGCAACAACCACCACCTGGCGTTGTCTTAGGAGCGGATCGTTCCATTATGCCGGTAGTCTCGGTGGGCGGAGTTGGAGTTGGGGTCGCCGCTACATCGCAAATAAATTCAATGTCGCAACCTCCGATGTCGACTATGCAGCAACTTCCTTTACCGGTACTAATTGCTATAATGTTATTTTGCCGATCTTGTAAACACTTATTTATATTGAATAACTATAAAATGATAATAGAACTCTTATTTTTTTCTGCATTTAGAATAAAGATGCAAACTCAAGAATAATAATGAATACCCCTCTTTTTCTAGGCCATCAACCCAACGATTATTGGTAATCAAATAATAAGCGGTGCGTCGCAGGTTCAGGCGATGCCGATTGTGAGTGCGACGCAGGATCAGCCAACGCCCGATAATACGAACTCGACAATAATGATTACATCGCCGGACCGTAATCCGCAGGCTGAGTGCTCTCTGATATTGTCGTCTACCACGAATCCCCCGTTAATAACTGACGATAGCATGAAATTAGCTGCAAAGAAGGATGAAGTGCCTGTCACTACGGAAGATATCACTACGGCAGCACCGCAGTCGGAAATAACGGGTATTGATCTTATTGTATTAATAAATTTGAATATCTTTATTCGGTAAGCAATTCATAACGAGAAGACGGAGATATAAATGGTTTTGTGACCGTCTATACAGATGGAGACCAAAGTAAAACGATAGCGAAAGACGATGAAACGAATGCTCCAAAAGTGGACGAGAAACAGTGCAATAACCCGTTAGCAGGGCTTGCCAATACAGTAAACGCGATTACGAATGGTGTAGTCGGTGATGAGTCACAGATTATACCGATCGCAACAGTCATAGTGAATAATAAACAAGCGCCGCCTAAAGCCATGGTAAAACCGCAGGTCCTTACGCATGTGATAGAAGGATTTGTGATACAAGAAGGTATACTTGCTGCCTTTTGCCTTACCTTTACTAATTATATTAATTATCAAAGGTCATTTTCACACTGATGAATCGCGATATCAGACATAAGATTTCTTCTTATCTATGCTGCAGCGTCAGAGCCGTTTGCTGTGAGTCAGGAAACTACGAATATCCTTAATCGAAGTAACGCAGTCGAGATAAACGAAGAGCCCCCGAGTAAGTAAATTATTCGCACGAGTGATTAATGCTGCGTTTTGAGTTTAAGCTAATACAAAATCTGCATTACAGAAAAGAAAATTTGTGTTAATTATTCCAACGAAGACGATGGAACTGGTGATCAGGACAGTAAATGCGAAAACTGCGGTAATACGATCGACGAACAGAACGTCAAGTTGAAGAAAGAAAAGCGATTCTGCTCATCGATGTGTGCGAAGAGGTGAGCACATTTTATTAATATACTAAATATTTTAAATATTTTACACCGAATTATTTATTCTTAAATATTTTTTTCTTTCGCAAATATTCTTTTTAACGAAGACTTTATCTCATCTTATGCGCAGTAAAAAACGTGAAACACGAGAGCGCGATGCTACGGAGAAACAGTGGACTGAAATAGAGACTGAAACTAAAACTATCGATAACGACATAATGAAGAAGAATGGCGAGGAGAAAGCTTTGTCTACGAGTACCACATCCTCCATCGACGAATCACTGCCGAAAGTGAACCCGGTTAAATGGACGGTAATGAGATATTTTTATGAGATTGAAAAAAAATATATTTAAATATCCAATACGAGCGAAAAATTACGTGTCATACAGGTGGGTGAAGTATGCGAATTCATACGCGGTCTACCGGGCTGCTCCGATTACGCAGAAGACTTCGCCATCCAGGAAATTGATGGCCAAGCTCTTATGTTGCTGAAGGAAGATCATCTCATGTCAGCGATGAGTATCAAATTGGGCCCGGCATTAAAAATCGTCGCCAGGATTGATTCAATGCGCGTAGAATCGAACTCGAATTCTTCGTCGAATAATTCATAACCATCTACCTATCAGTAGCGGATTCCTGAAGTTTTCAAAACGTTTCTAGCCTATGGGCTACAGGGTTTGTGCAAGTATTTGATTGATTGTAAATGTATAGGATTATGTATGACTTAATTACGCGAGATGTCTGTATAAATATTACGGACGATACTGATATATTTTGAAAAACTTTAACATTTGCTTGATGGCTTATCTCTTGAACAAGTTTAATTTTAATTTTTTAATTTAGTTTTTATTAAGCAAATTTTGAAAGAGATCAAGCAATATTTTTCTTTCAAGCGTAAACTATTAATTGGTATTATTTTATGACGAATTAAAGCCGAGGATACTTGTATACTATGCGTATGGGGGATACTCGTGAATATGATAATAGTCCTTTGAAACAAATTGTTCAACAAAAAGTTGATCTTTAAAATTTCCTCAAAATTTGCGCTATTCAATAGTATCATCCATACGGTATTTATAATTTAATTTTTAACATAATTGGTTTGATAACTAAATAAATTTAAAGATATGCCGTATCCTTTTTTTTGTAATTCTTTTACGATTATATTGTCGAATATATGTTTATTTTATGTACAAAAACCTGACTTAGGTGAAAATATTGTACTCTCGAGATACTAATGTTACATTAAACGCGTGGAATTTGTTCAGTTATAGCGTATTTCGGGCTTGACACTGATGTTCAAAGATATGTATATATAATATAATAATAGTCGTACAATCTATTGAGTGATTTTATTGATCTTAATGATCAATAAAACGTTTGTGAAGTGTTTTATTTGACACATATATACAATGTCTGTATAAACATTTTCTCGAAGTGCACTATTTTGTGAAGCTGGAACTGTCAAAGAATAGAGTACAAATTGTCCATTATACAAGAACATACATATAAAATTGTATATACATGTAAAACGATACAGCACGCTGTATTTTGTACTCAAGAGTAAATACTACCGGTTGACGTACAAAATGCATTGCCTTCTATACAACTTGCAGATAGTAGCCTTTATAGTTACTGTCTCGTTAAGAATATTTTTTTTCTTATGCCGAAACGATAATTTTTTGATCATTTTTACGTTGATATTGAAAAAAAAAACTGCCTACTTGTCATTACGTATTTTCGTACAGATATGTTTTTGTAAACATAAGACGTGTACTCGGTTGATGAAAAATGTAAATAGTAGGTATAAAACGTTTATTTATTGTACAAATTTTATGATGAGATTTTAGTTACTGAAAATTATCCTTCCATTTATTATGTTTAATTCTTCGTCTAATGGAAGAAAAGTGATTATTCCTATTATGTAAGAGAAATTATTTCTGTCATTAATAATAGTATACTATGAAGTAATAAGAAATTCTTGGAAAGAATTGTCACTATTTTTATTTGAACAATGTCTTTTCAATAAAGTAAGAATTGTGACGATATATACTTTTAATATGTCAATATATTTGGTATGCTCTTGAAGTTCAATGCAAATATTTTATATAAATTAACATAACCGTCAATTCTGAGGCTAACCAAGGTAAAGGTTGCTGCTTTTATATATTTCTTAGCGTAAGATTAATTAATTTTATACGTATTTCAATATTGTGCAAAACAGCCGCGAGATGTGTCTCAATAGGATCCGTCACGTTTGGATTGAACAATGATTTCCGCGTTTTATGTAAACGTTAAATATAGTGATAGATGTGTCTTTTTGTACGCCGTAAGAGAGAATCTTAGCAGAGGAAGCAATATAGCTCCCCTAAAAACATCACATGTATCACATATTACTAAATTTATTCCATGCCTCTATTCATGCCTATTGATAGACAGTAGAAGTTTACATAATGGAAATTAAATATTCTGTACACTAGCATACAAGTTTTTGTTCCAAGTTCGGTTGCACCAACAATGCAAGCTTGTTATTCTGTCTCTAAAGATAATTATCTTCCATATTATGCAAATTCAAAAATTTATTTCCTTTTTATACGCCTCTATATAAGGCTCTTATACTAAAAGAAAGCCTGTAGGTACAAAATTTAATTAGCGCTAATTGAGATTGGTGCAACTGTAGCTGAGATTTCATAGATTTCATGAATATTGAAAAATTCTAGCTATAGATTCAAGGTTTAAAATTTAGTACATTTTCGGCAAAGTTTTGAGATAACTCAGGGCCAAATATTTCACAATATACTTTTTATAATGAAGAGGCAAACTCTGCAGTAGCATAAAACTAAATTATTATTATTATACATTGGGGAAGCGAGGGCTGAAGTAACTGCAATTGGAACTTCGAATAAAAAAGATATAATGAATTATGAGTCAATTAATTGTAGGATATACCCAGTCATTTAAATTTGTTTCAATATATTTTTTTGTAAATAACTTAAATTCTTTTCTTTATAATTTGTAATTCCTTGTTGGACCTTGTTAATTTATGTCTAATGTGATCTTTAAAGAAATTTTTGAGCACATTATTAAAGACTTGCAATTCAAAATTATATATATTTCTGTAAAATATACTGCCATTAAAAAAAAGTTAGTGATGGATAAAACATGTTTAAGATAATATCTATTGCACAAACTGTAATCTATCAAGTTTATTTACAAGAAATTAATATAATTTTAATCTTTACACAAACTATGTAAGTCATATATACAAAAGTTTATTTACAATCCACAAATATGCAGGCGCTATAAATATATTCTAACTTTTGAAGATACATACATTGCTCTGCGTCATTTATGGTTTTCATTTCTGTCGCTCATGCGTGAAAAGGACTGCTTACGCATAACATTACAACTGTTGTGACGTTCCGTCCCTACGTTGATAATGGTACGTTCGAAGAATCTTCTATGTTTCTACCCTCGAGCAGGAGCTCGTCCTGAGCCAATTTACCCTGCACCTGTTGCAAGGGTTGAACGTAACGAAAGTATTCGTACGCCTTAAAACCGAGGAAGAGGCTGGTGGCCACCGTGACGCCCATGCAGACTTTCACGGCGCCCCTGTGCAGCTTGTCGTACAGCCTCTCCTTCCTCTTTCTCCTTTGGAAGCCCGGATCCATCGCCGGCCGATCTTGCTCTCGCTCGCTCGTCAACGTAGGTATGTGGCGGTCCTCGCTCGCGCTGAAAATAACATTACGTAAGTACCACGACGTCGCGTCTTAAAAAAAGTGCGAATAACCTCAAAACTTGAGCACGAAAACGTCGGAGCAACACGCGTAAGTTTCATTGTATTTATAACAGCTATGCGACCGCTCACTTGAATAGTGTCGACTATTTGAGTTCGAGTAGAGCCTTTTAAACGGCAGACTGAATTTTGCTTTTAATAGGCTTTTCTAAACAATCTAAACGAATACCTGGCAAATCAAAACTTTTCGACACAGGTCGGCGAATATCATGTATCGTTAATCGTATCGCCGCTGCGCCGCACCACGTGGGATCAAGTACCACGATTCGCCACTGCATGGCGCTACGATTTGCGATGCTAATTTCGACGTTGCATTGTTGCGTATGAAAGCAGGTAATGCCGGTAACCGATAATTAACTCTTTGATGTTGTGATCCGAATTTCAACGATTTCGACGATTTCGATGTTACGATCTATCAACAACACGGTCGTCGCAATGTAAGGATATTAATCTATTCGACGTACATACATCTGTTATTGCAGGTAGGTGTTATGGATGAAAAACGTAAGCGAAACGTTTGACGAGTTGACGACACTAAAACAATTGTAAACAATGATTAAACGGTCTTTTTGCCATAATGTGGGATTATATCTATAATAGAATATTATTTTGAAACATCACATACAAGAGAAATACATTTAAATAATGTTTTAAAATAAAATTTATAATCTATTTTATGAAAATCTTAAAGAGCGATATATTTATCATCTTGAAGATTTAATACATTTATGATTTGACTTTTTGCGGTTAGAAACAAACTGCTATTTTTAACGGTATGAGAGAATTAAAAAAATGTGAAAGTTAATTGTGTTTATCGATAAGAGAAAAATATGAACTTTTCACTAAGAAAACAAAATATTTTAACAAGTATACTGTTATATCGATCGACATTTGTTGAAAAAAATGTATGAATCACAAAGTGTTAAAGAGAAATGAACTTATTATGAAACTTATTATATAAATTTTATTAAGCACATTTTGTTATAAATATTCAAAGAAATTTCTGAAATAGTCTGTATAGTTAATATATGTCAATTTATTTTCTTTTAGTCATGATACAATTAAGGAAATTTAACAAAATGATATTTTTTTCTTATGTCTATTTACATTGAATTGAAAGAATTGTTGCGGGATAAAACTCACATTCTTTCAATTCAAAATGGTAAATAATACATAATAATACAATTCACAAAATATAGGTACTTATATTTGTAAAGACTGTACAAAGTTTCACGAAAGGTCAGTTTAGGCATTTGATGGAAAAATTGGAAGCATTTATACGAAAAACTTTTCACTAATTTTTTACACTTTTTATGTTGAAAAGTATAAATTATCTGAGTCACAGCCTAATATCTAATTGTAAGAAATGCAGTTAAAAATTATGCTGCGTTGCATGTGTTATCTTCAAATAAGAAAGTTTAGCAGCAACACTTCTGAATAGAATCCTAAATCTGTTATGTCTCTAATTCTCTAAAAACTCATCAAATATCTTTGAATCGATGTCCAACACTATCTCGTCCAAAGATGGGCCTTCCGCAGAGACTGGTAGCTCTAAATTTGGAACAAATAAATTAATCAAATAAATTAATCAAATAATACATTTGGTAATGAATAAAATGAATTAGAATTTATATTGTAAGAGAAACCTGTCATTTTTATTAATGTATAGTGTAAATGGAATATATAAATTTTAATTTATGATGATAAAATTATAATAAGAATAAATGAATTCAGCTGATTACATAACTCACTAACGCGTTTCCAAAATAGTTTATCTAAAGATGCACAATAATCGAGATGTTCTTGAAAGCAATTAAATATATTTGCTTAATATTAATATCAGATTAGTCAGAAAATCTTTTCGTATTTTAAATCCTTTTTGCATAAAATATTGAGAATATTGAAATACAAATATAAATCCATAAATTAATTAGAAATCTTATTATGAATAATTATACCATAATTAATTCCATGAAAAAAATTTATCTGAAATTCTGCGAAGGCAGAAGTTATAGTCATTAGGTTGATTATTAGAAAGTCTTTTCGAATTTTATGTAAAAAGGACGACTCAAAATACGAAAAGACTTTCTAATCAACCTAATAACTATAACTTCTGCCTTCGCAGAATTTCAAATAAATTTTTTTCATGGAATTAATTATGGTATAATTATTCATAATAAGATTTCTAATTAATTTACGGATTTATATTTGTATTTGAATATTCTCAACTTATTGTTAGATATTTCTATCAGCCATTTCATTTTTATACTCACATATATATTCTTTTTCTTTTCTTTGTGAAAAGTATATTAAAAAAATTATATCATACTTGGTATAGATCCAGTTGCTTTGTATTCCTCAAGATCCTCTTTAAATGCTTCCTCAAAGGTCTCTCGCCGTTCCTTCAATTTTTTTTGCTGGTTTAATTCGTGCTGTGAAAGTCTCACCGTATGTTCAGTAGCTAGTTTTGCTAAAAATTAATTTGAAATAAATCATAAAAAGATTTTGACAAAATGAATGAATAAAATGCCCTAATCTCGTACGATGTATTTACCTTTGAAATTATTTAATTCTATCAATTTCTTCTCTTTGTACAAAGCCAACTGGAACCTGTGATCCAGCTGTCTACCTTGTAAATCTAACATTTCATTTAGATCTTCCAATCGATATAAAGCTCCTTCAACTTCTTCGAACATTTCTTGTAAATTTCCTTAAACGTAATAAATAATCATTTTAGAAAGATTCGGTTTTTTTTATTCGTGTTTTAATGTAATTATGTTTCGTCCTTGAAGAGAATATTTGATTCTATTACCTATTTGGTCCATGAGATCTTGAATCGCATTATTAATCTTTGGAATGTAAGCTAAAGTGCTGTTTAAACATGTAACATTGTTCCACTCGTGTTGAAGTTTTTCGTAAATGGAGGATATCAGCGTATCTGCTTCCTGAGCCTTGCCCGCGTTCTCCTCCGCGAGCTCGTGAAGCTCATTCCACTGCAGTTGAAAATGATGCAGAACATCTGCCCCAGCGTCATAATTTACATTCCTTACATTGACTGGCTTTTTGCTCTTTGGATGCTCGGTAGTGGACAGTCCACGTATACTGAAAAGTCACAATTACGATATTCTGGTGTTTTCATTTAAAGTTGCTCCCTGAGTTGCTACATTATCTTTTATAGATTATTTTTATCATTCATAAATACACGATTTGTAAACGGCTATCATTGATTTTATCGTTATATGCTATTATTATCCATATCATTTTTGTAAGACAAGATAAGAGGCTGTGAACATAGAAAATTTTTTACCTAGCAGATATACCTTCTTGCACCGTCTGAAACTTGCTACGTAGTGATCCAAACATACTTTACTGACTCGGTGGTAAACATTCGCTGTCAAACTTCCAATGCGTTTTTAGATCCGGCTATCTGGAACAAAACTTCTTTTTATTTTTTTGCACAGACGTGTAGCAGACAAATTTTTTTATACTAAATTCAAGAAATGTCTTCGACTTCTCCACAAAAGTTGCCTTTGTGCAACAAGCTATTGTCATTTTATAAAAATTATGATTTTCTGTATACCATATACAATTATCTCTAATCGTACACACACACACACACACACACATACAATAAAGTGTACTAATTATATTCAATAAATTAATCATGTTAACTGAGTTTACAATCAAACCAATCAATTTTACTCGTTCGATAACGTAAATACGCCATTCTCGTTAACAAAAGAATTTGTTACACGTTTTGGAATCACAATATCGCAATTGTTAGCCGAAAACAAAAGACGACAGGGGAAACTTTGATTACTCGAATTCAGCGTGAAAAGGTACACGCGATCAAAGTTATGGTCAGCTCAGTAAGCTTGTCGTCAGTCGTTATTAATTGACAATCGATGTGTTTGGGTTCTGTCATTGTTTACAAAACACTGCACTCAGTGTTAACCAAGAAACATTAAACATCTTCCGCGTATCGAATAGTTTAACAGGCAACTGACAGGTTTGAACTTTAATTAACGGAAAAGAGTATCTCTTTTTCTCTTCGACGGAGTAAAATTGTGTAGAGATTACATCGAATCTGAACGGCGTGCGAGAACTTCGTCGATAATTTGGTTTCTCGGATCGTCGCGGAAATCACGATAGGTTTGTTTCTCATATCTGCACTCCTGAGTACTTTATGCGCTCGGAAACGAGATCTGAGTGTATTTCCAGGCGTTGGAAAGAGAAAGAACGAATGATCAGAGTGCAGGGAGTGCAAGAGAAACGAACCAATTGTCAAACGGCCATATGTCGAGTCGCAAGGGAACAGTTGATCATGGCAGCGTGCTCCGGAAACGGCAGGATTCGATGGGCTTTCTTTTTTGGGACGTCGATACGCTTCGACAACACTCGCAGTTGCAGGAAATCTTTGAGAATCCGCTACAGCAGCATATTGGCAATTTCGTTTAGGCATGCTAAAACCTAGTAAGCAAAAACTGACCGCGGTATAATTATGTATAGTAGATTGGCAGCAAATTCGTTCAGAAATTGCTAGCAAATCTGTCAATTATGTCCGCATTAAGCTCGTATTTCATCGGTTCACATAACTTGACAGCAGATTGGCAATGGAAACTGAGTTTATCAAATCTAAAATCTATCAAATGTGGATTCTGCTCTATTTCTGTTATCAATCTGCAAATTGCAGGTATAATATGTCAAAATCTATTCGATTTTTACCATCATTTTTACATCAATTTGCCATCATATTTTGTTGACAAATTTTGCTATATTTCTATCAGCTTTCTGTCTACACACAACATATGTATATGCTAGATCCTATATCAATCGGAAGCTTTTCTGCTGACAAAATTCGTAGCATTTAACAACTCGAACACTGCAAAATCTATTTTTGACAGCTTGCTGAAAAATTTTATCATAGATACCTGATCGTGCAATAAGACATCACTAGGTGTGTATATAAAATTTAACTTTTGCAGCTTAACTTCATCCTGAATTTCTATATGATTTGATGAGAATATTGTCAATAGTATATAAGTTACAAGTCTGAAAGATATATCAATCGCATCACAACATTGCATTTGTTGCATATTAAGCGTATTATCCTGACATTCTTCTTTTAATTATGAGTCGAATGCTCCATTATTGATCAGGCATAACGAATTTCAAATATTATAGCAGGACACGAATAGGAAATAGAGATGTAACAATATGATTAATGCAATTTAGTGCACAAGAAAAGTAGAAACAGAACCACATTCGATTTGTTCCAGCACATTATTCGCGTAAACTCTTGCAGACTATTCACAGAACAAATAGAGATATAATCTACGATAATTATTTTTTTATCTATGTCATTTATTCGAATTAAATAGGATTTTTAATTCACTTTTGTTGATATTACATGTAAAAAGAAAGGGACAAACACAAACTGCAAGCATCGTGTAAATATTTGTTTTGATAAATATGCTTATAGTGATGTAATATTACTTTCGTATATTGTTCAAAAAGAGACAAAATTATTTTATTAATTTTTATCTTTGCATAAATTTGAAAAAAAACTGAATTCAGCTTTAGTAACAATCTAAAACTGACACTTACATTTTACAATTCTAAAAAATCCAAAATGCATTTAATCAGTCGTCACATACAAGTACCTACATAATAGCGCGAATAAGTCATAGGCTATTAAAACTGTTTTCATATCAATAATGTTATATCAATTTGCAATTTTATTTTATACCATTTGAATGCAGAATATAAATTCTACACCAAAATAGTATCACAGGTCATCACCCGACTTTTAGGTATAGGTATACTTGGCGTCGCTCTGCTACCGCGTCGCTTGATTTGAAATAGTATTTATGTAAATACGGCTCATATTGATCCATTTTTATTTTTAAAAGATTACAATCGATATATTCAAAATTCTTTAAAAATCTTCCATTTAATCTATTCTCGTATTAAATAATACGTCTCAAAAACAGAATGACCATTTTGTTTATGAATTTAAATATCAGGATATTTTTCAAGCGAAAATTAAAAGTAAAATTTGCGAATTTATTTAAGAGAAAGAAATAAATAGATATTGTTCTCTACTCAGTTCTTTGTTTAGATGTTATTTATTAATATACTTGAGATGTTAAAAATTAATTTATAACACAAAATTTGTTAAAAATACAGGAGTTTTCTGTCGGAATCAATCAGCTATTTTCTGGTTCAGTTTTTAGAATATTTTAGAAATTGAAAATGGATCATTAAAAAAATTTACAAAATGGTAATAAATGTAAAACTCAAATTATCGCGTAAAAATTGACGTTATTTGTAACATTAAGAAAACAAAATTTTTATAGATTCCACTGTAAGTTTAGTTATAAAAATATATATAATGAATAACTCCTGTAAAACCTACATAAATCAATATCTACCTTGGTTTTCGAGTAATACGAATAAATTTTTTAAAAATGCTGTTTAAAAGAATGCGTGTTTAAAAATTGGACGTTATTTTTTCAAATGAAACTATATGCATAATTCTTTTAAAAACTGTCAGCACCGTAGTATAACGTCTCTAAGATATAGACGTAAGGAATTTCGAGACGATCATTTCATTAGTTGGAACTAATTCTTATAACGGCCTACGGTCAGATTTAAGACAGTCTTGAATATAAAGCTCGGTGTACAATTGCGTAAGCGTAGTTGTAAGTGATTGCAGTTGTAAGAATTGACCAATCATAATAAAGAATAAGAAAAATATTTGACTATAATTGGTCAGCTCTTAAAACTACAATCACTTATGACTATATACGATTACGCAATTGTAGACCAGCTTTAAGATTGGACTATGAATCAGTCTAAATCTGTCTCATTCTCAGTACTTATTTCAACAATTACTTTCTTAGGCTTGTCCTTTGTCGGTGCTTTGGATTATACTAAAACTTTCTTTCTCGCTTTCACGAAACTTCAAATATACATCAGGATGAGTCAAAAAAACGGGAAAATTTTAAGGGATAAAATAAAAACTTGGAATTATTATTCAATTAATTTTAATACATCAAAATATAGAACGTAATATGCCATTTATAAATGACATACAGTATAGACATACACATAAAAAGATAAGGTAATTTGTAAATGGTATATTAGTACGTTCTATATTTTAATGTAATACTGTAATATGAGATGGCCATCTGAAAGATGTCAATTTTCAAGATGTAATAATTATCAAGTAACGCCAAGTAAAAAGGGTAAGATAATTAATCACATATTATGATTTATATTTTGATGTAATTAAAATTAATTAAATAAAGTTGCTAAGTTTTTATTTTATTCCTTTAAATTTCCCTCTCCGTTTCTTTGGTTCACCCTGTATGTTCATTTCATTTTAAATATAATAAATGTGCAGTGTGTATATGTATATATGTGTACACTAGTTCAGTTACAAAGATCATATTGTCTTTTTTTATGTATTTCTAAAGAAAGGCTCCGTATGCTGTAACAATAGCCGTCCGCAGCTGCCGTTTTGCATTGTATCTCCAGTTTTTTATGCTGCTTCAGATTTTCAACTCTAATTTTATCAATTTTACGAATTTCGTAATAAAATCGATAACATTCTATTCTTAAACAGTCATATTACAATAATTTGCAAAAATAAAAAATTGATTTTTTATTCTTATAAACCTACTATTCTTTTAACAATATATTGCATTTTCTGTTTTGAAAAATCGTAAAGTATAATTTTTGCGTCCTTCATATAAAGCTTTAAAATGCAAACAACAAATCAATAATGTACGTAAATTGATAAATAATTGATAAATATCATGTTTTCTCTTACTTTTATATAATCATAAAATGTTAGTATTTATCTGATTCTTTGTAAAAAGAATCATAAAAGGTTATCTGGTATTATAAAGTCAATATACAATTTATATTACTAATGAACATCTTATAAATATACGAAATTTATTGCGAAAAATATCATTTTAACTTGATATCATTAGTACAATAAATAGACTAGGGGAGTTTACAAGAGACTTATTAGAATTTAAGACTTATAAAGCCTCGGTGATCCCGACTGATGTCCCTGCTGAGAAGTAAAGAGAAAATAAAGAGAAGATTCGACCCCTGACTGAGGTATTTTTCGCAATAAATATCGTGTAGCAAAGGAGGATTAATAAGATGCTCGTTACAGTTAATAATATTCTATCAATTTCATAATGAGAGATTTTCAGCTTTGACATAAGACTATACGTTTCAAGAGCAAGTAATAATCAGGGCGTAGTTTCGTAACACAAATATAAATAAATATTAGATATACATATAAGAAACCGACCAATGATCAAAAAAATTACCCGATCACTTAATTATTTTATCACCAAATTCCTATATGCTCTACATGTGTTGTGTAATAATTACTTGATTTCT